TCAATATCACTACATGATGGCCATCACGTCTAATGATTGATAAAACGCCGAAGCAGAGGGGGCATTAAGTTTTACCCTTGTCCGTCTGTCAGTACGTACGTCTGTACGTCCCAAAATTGGTTTCCGTTCTCTAACTTGAGTTTGCCTCAACCAAATGTTATCAAACTTATACACAATGCTTATTACCACAAAACACAGATCAAGTTTGAATTTTGGTGGCATCACTTTAACTGTTCTATAGTTATGCCCTTTTACAAATGGAAAAATTGCTAAATTTTTCATTTTTTTTTTTTCTCAAAATATGAATGATGTCATTGTTCAAGTAATATTTAAAATTGGAGTTATCTTCCTTTGTCCATGATTGTAGGTAATGCTTTATACAATGCAATGTTTTATTTTGTCTTCCACTGATAAAACACAGATCAAGTTGAATTTGGGTAGTGTCACTTTAACCATTATTGAGTTATGCCCCTTTATAAATCGAAAAATTGCAAAATTTTTTGTTTCCGTTCTGTAGCTTAAGTTTGCCCCAACCAAACATGAAACCTATACACAATACTTATTACCACAAAACTAAGATCAAGTACGAATTTGGGTAGCGTCACTCTTATTGTTCTTGAGTTATGTCCCTTTATAATGTTGTATGCAAGCGGGGGCATCATCTGTGTCCATGGGGACACATTCTCCATTCATTTTAAATGTGTAAATGCTAGAGGGTGCATATTTCTGGATGCAAATCTTTCACAGCAGAGTTGTATTTTCTGCCAAAAAATTTGAAACAAGGTCAATTAATTTTTATTTATTTTTGACTCGACTTGTCTTGTCTGACTTACCTGAAACTTTTAATGTTTTTAAGTGGAAGACTGAAGTATGAAAAAAAAATTCTCTTGTTAAGTTTAAACATATATTTTTATTCTTCAAAATAATGAATGGATTGGACACAAATTATACAACTTCATAATGTCTTTTTGAAGGCTCTGCATCAGCTTCAAGCTTTGCCCTGAGTCTTCAAAATTAGTGACTAACTTTAGCCAGAACAATAAAAAATCTGCCATCATCACCAGATTCTCCAATAGAACAAAAAAACACATTTACATATGATAGAGGACCTGAACTGTGAACATTTTACAAGGTTGAACAAATTTTTTTTCAGAATTTAAATTTAAAATTTAGATACATAGAATAAAAATCAGTACAGGAAAAGTACCATATTCATTGTAAATTTAGAATAGAGAACGAAAAACGAGGAATATGTCAAAGAGACAACAACCTGACCAAAGAGCATAAGTCTGTCTTCAACGCAGTGAGAAAATCCTGCACCCGAAGGCAGGCTTCCACTGACCCCAAAACAATAATGTATACTAGTTCAGCAAAACTTAACTCCAAAACATACAGGTGAACCAAAATTTAAAAAAAACACACTAAGTTTAACAAAGACTAGAGTTTCCTGACTTGGGACAGGTGCAAAAATGTGGCAGGGTTAAACTTTGGTCTGCTCATTGAAAGCCCCAGTAAGATTTTAGAGATTTTTTTTCTGAAAATTAATTGTAGTCTTGTAATCATTGTAATAGAACATGATGTTGACATTCTGCCTGGAATGATGATGATATATAAAGACAAGTATTACCTGTACATGATAGTTCAATTCAGCCTTAGAATAATGATGATATATAAAGACAAGGATTACTTGTACCTGATGGTTAAATACAATTCTTATTAAGAATTTTACATAATGCATTGTATATACTATATATTTTGACCTGAAGCTGTTGTTGATACACAAGGTTAATCGGTGAAGGTGATGGTTGATAAAGTGCTAATGGAGAAGTCAATAGTATATAGTTGATTGTTTTTCTGTGTTACATTCTAAGTGTGAAAGATGTTTTCATGTCAGTCCAAAGGTGTTAATTAAACCTGTGTATATATATGCCTACATGTCACATGTAAATATTGTTCCTGATTTAGTGCATTCCATCAATATTTATTGGAGAGACATTATAAGAAATGGTAACACTTCAAAGTAAATTTAATATACACGTCAGATTTACCTTGGTCTTTTCTCAGCAAGTATATTTTCAAAAGTTATAATATTTCTGGTATCAAAATGTTTGATTAAGGTTAACAGTGTTATCATTGTCACCATCCTGTCTCTAGAACTATGTTAATTTGTTTTTCGTAAATTGTTTTGTTACAAATTAGGCCATGGTTTTCTCATTTGAATTGTTTAACATAATACTGACTATAAGGTATGGGTTTTTTCATTATTGAAGCATGTACAGTTGCCTATAATTGTTTACATCCACTTCATTTGATCTTTGGTGGATAGTTGTCTCATTGGTAATCATACCACATCTCCTCAGTTTTATATTATAGACCCATCAACAAAGGAGGGGCTGTGGTATTTTCCCACTTCTGTAAACATGTGACTTACTCATTGTGGTTTTCCTAATGTTTTTACAAATTATTAAGAATGGTGGTCTAAGGATTTGTATACTTTTTGACAGTTTTTTTATTACGCTTGGAAGCCTTCTAGTCGTAGTAAGAGGGGTCATTGGTCTGATTCACTGATCTGGTCAAATTTTGATATACCAGGGGGGAAGGGGAAATAAAGCTTTTATCCACCTTGTTTTTTTCCATTTTGTTTAATAGTCATTTAGGCACATTCTGAGTAGCTATCCTACAAAAAGGAAAGGGTCATTCAGGATATTTTTTTGATAAAATATAAAAAATATATTTGGAATTTTTCAATCAAATAATCATGAAACATTTGCTGTTGGAAGTTAAGCAATTGATAATCAATCAACTAGTTATCTGATCTTGCTAAATAATTTTCCTTTATCTTTTGAGTCATTTTTATCTTAAAGAAGTTTATTGATAATTATAACTGCTGGTGCAAAAATTAGCCTTTCAGCAAAGTTAATCTTATCTATTTGTATATGATTTTTTAATTTTTGTCTCGCCTTGATGGAGTCAAAAAGCGAGACATAGGTATGCTGTTTCTGGCAGCGGCAGCTTCGTCAACAATGTATTAGTTTGTGATTAGGTCTAGTTTATGGTGAACCACAAGTGGTAGGTCAATCATATTTGGTATGCAGTTGTATTAGCAATGGCACATCTCATTTCCATGGAGATTATTTGGCCCTGCCCCCTCAGTCATGGTCTATTGACTTTGTAACTTTTGCTTATTTTACATGTATTAGTTTGTGATTAGGTCAGTTTATGGGGAACCACTAGTGGTAGGTCAATGATATTTGGTATGCAGTTGTATAAGCATTGTCATATCTCATTTCCATGGAGATTATTTGGCTCGGCCCCCCTTAGTCATGGTCTATTGACTATGAAAATTTTGCTAAGTTAACATGTATTAGTTTGCGATTAGGTCAGTTCAAGGGGAACCATTTAGGGTAGGCAAATATTATTTGGTATTCAGTTGTATAAGCATTAGCACATCTCATTACCATGGACAATATTTGGCCCGCCCCCTCAGTCATGGTCTATCGACTTAGAAACTTTTGCTCAGTTTACATGTATTGGTTTGTGATTAGATCAGTTTAAGATGAACTGCTAATGTTGAGTAAACGATATTTGGTATGATAATTTATTGGCATTTGCAAGTATCGTTTCCATGGAGATTATTTAGCCCCACCCCTCTTCATGGTTCATTGACTTTGAAACTTTTACATAGTTTACATGTTAATGTTTGTGTTTAGGTTTGTTTAAAGGGAACGACTTATAATAAGTCAATGGTATAAATTTGGTATACAGTTGTATTAGCTTTGGCACATCTCATTTACATGGAGATTGTTTAGCCATGTACCTCAGTCATGGTTCATTGACTTTGAATATTTGCATAACTTATGAAACATGTTAAAGTATTGCTATTTTAATTTCAACATTTGCATAATCAAAATTACAAAAGGGCGAGATATATCTCTGTGATAACAGTTTAACTTATAAACCATAATCTTTTGAGATATCAAAATGAAATTGATAGATGTAGTTACCATTGATTTCTTTGCCTCAGTCCCATGCTACATTTAAATTTAGAATACAGATTCTGCCTTTGGGAATTTGTTACTGTCATATGTGGAATAATACATTGTTAAGAATAAATGAATTTTGTGCTCATCAACTATATACTTAATTGGTCTTCTACTTCTTTCAAAATTAACTTGGGATTTCAATGGTGTATGGTAAAGACAAGTTTTCAAATAGATTTTTTTTAACTGAAGAATATTTAGTCACTTTTGAACTGTTTAGTTACTGAAATAGTAGGTAACTCCATTTTCTGTGACTGCCTCTGTGGAGCCACAGGTACTACATCAAAAACAGGATGTTATGGATCTATTCCCTGACTATCTAAACCAATGACCATAATACTGATATCTTTGGTATCTGATATACTATGAAGAAGGTACTGTAAGTGTGGTGACAGATTGTCTCCATTACTGTTACATGTAAACCATTCAGACCCAATAACATACAAACTAAACCTAGTATTTCATTTTGAACAGAATTTTTGTTGATACCTCAGTGTTCTCCCCAGAAATTTTGGATAGCATCACATTTGGCGTAAAAAAATAAACTGTATTTTTTTTCAATGTCATTTACATGTTAAATGTTTATATAATGAATTTTGCGAATTGAGACATCCAATGTATAAGTCTACCAGTTTGAGTCATATTGTATTCCTTATAATTATTATGAATATCTAGAATTACAAGTGTTGTCAAGGCAGATGTGCAAGATCTGCTTTCCCACTTCATATTTCAGAACTGAATGTCCAGATATTTTATTTGTTTATGACTTTCAGTAGATTAAAAACTTTCAACTTACTTGCTTAAAATATTTTGAAAAAAACAAAATCTCTTTTGCAGTACTTGTACTTACTCCTACTCAATTGCCTTATAGTAACAAAAAAAATATAATTGACATCATTTTTTTTTTTTTTTTGCAGTCTTCTTTTGGTGTCACTTATTTACTATATATTTCTTTTTCAGTCGAAACCAGTTAGTTGTTATACCTCCATTTATTTGCGAGCTTGTGTCTTTAGAAGTGTTGATAGCTAGTCATAATAAATTGATATCATTACCTGAAGAAATGGGTGTTTTAGACAAATTAATGGAAATAGTAAGTACTAATATTGTAATGAAAATTTGAAAGAAATCTAATTGAAGTTGTAATATCATTGGCGTAGCTTACGTTAAGGCAACCAAGGCAGTTGCCTCGGTAAAAAAATATTAAAAAAATAAAATAAAAAAGCTTTTCTTTATAATATTTTTTTAAACAATTTTCACAAAATGCAGCAGACTCGCTACTAAACGCTAATATACATACACATTGTCTTGTTGCCGTTTTTGATTCATACACTTTGCGAGTTCAAGACTAATGGAAGCATTTCCCTTGAAGCTGACAAAGTGATATTATCCTACCCCAAGCAAAATCAGTAGAATAGATGATGATTCAACTCACATGTCTTCCCCAATCAAATCACTTGACCATTCAGATAAACGTAAATGTTTGCGTTAGTACTTCACCGGTTGTCACTTTCACAATGGGAAAAAGTTCAAAACCATGTAAGGATCATGTAAGAATTTGAAGACCTTCCAAGAAATATCAGGGCAAAAAACAATAAAAGTACCTTGGTGCTCTTTACATGTAGCATATCTTTAATTCCTAGTTTATTAAGAAATGGTGCTAGCTTGATGGCTGTTAATGTTTCTGGTATTGAAACCCGCATACAGAAAATCCAACCAAGAGCATGTTATCAGCATTGCAGAGCGCACATTTAGAATCTGTTGCCTCCACTTGTAAAGCACTCGGTGATACCCGGAATTTGTTTGATTCTGTAAGTCAGCTGAAATGGTTTCTTGGTGGATTCACAGCTGTATTGTAAACTTGCTGTTTCATTAAAGTATACTCCATACCAATCTCCTTTTATTATGCCCCCTCTGTGGCGGAGGGGACATAAGTTTTACCCTTGTCTGTCTGTACGTCCCAAAACTGGTTTCCATTCTCTAACTTTAGTTTGCCTCAACCAAATGTTATGAAACTTATACACAATGCTTATTACCACAAAACACGGATCATGTTTGAATTTTGGTGGCGTCACTTGAACCATTCTAAAGTTATGCCCCTTTACAAAAGGAAAAATTGCTTAATATTTCATTTCTGTTCTATAACTTAAGTTACCCAGAACCAAATGTTATGAAACTTATAAACAATGCTTATTACCACGAAATACAGATCAAGTTTGAATTTTGGTGGTGTCACTTTTTCGTTATAGAGTTATGCCCCTTTACAAATGTAAAAATTGCTGAATTTTTCTTTTCCGTTCCCTGACTTAAGTTTGCCTCAACCAAATGTTATGAAACTTGTACAAAATACTTACTACCACAAAACTCAGATCAAGTACAAATTTGGGTAGCTTCACTTTTACCGTTCTTCAGTTATGTCCCTTTATAACTTTATATGATATGCAAGCGGGGGAATTATCTTTGTCCCATAGACACATTCCCCATTTATTTGTAAAGAATTTAAAATCTGGGAAGTTCACTGAAAAGATTTAATTTGAAAAGTGGTAAATGTTTTTGAGAACATTTATGTATTCATCTGAACATTGAAAATGATGTAGGTACCAGTAATTAACTAATAAATCTGAAGTATAACTTAGTGTAAGGCATATTAACATTATTATGATTAAGTAAATTACAACAACTGCTATTATTTTTAATAGATTTTAATAGACTGAATATACCGGCGTGTAGAAACCAAAGTTTTGCAGGACTATTGAAATTCTTCAATTCTTTAGTGGGGCCTCGGTGGCCGAGTGGTCTAAGTAGTTACTACTGTAATCACTAGCCAGTCAACACTGAGGTTGTGAGTTCGAACGTCGCTCGTGCAGGTGCACTCGACTACAATCTTAATTGACTAGGATTGTCAGTTTTCTTATCCAAGGTCAGTGGTTTTCTCCAGGCACTCTGGCTTCCTCCACCAATAAAAACTGGCCGCCACGAAATAGCCCAAAAGCGGTGCTTAAAAGTGGCGTTAAAAACACAAAAAATCAAAAAATCAAATTAATTCTTTACTAGTTATATGCCTTTCAAGCCAACAGAATTTAACAAAAATTTCTGCAAGTTGTAGGAGTAAACAATTAACAGAGACTGATTTTGATGATAGAAATGAATAAGCTTATTATTGGCTTAAAGTATGAGGATGTTATGTAGGTCTGGTCAAGTGGGTACCAAGTACTTGTGTAATCAACTCATCATACAGTTTTCAACAATGATGCCTGAAACTTCACAGAAAGATTGCACACCTTTTGAAGTTGTGCACCTGCTATTATGGAATTGTTTGAGAAATTTGTCCAGTCTTGGGAACTTATTTATTGAGCCAAATTTTTAAGAGATAGTAACAATTATAGTTTTAACCCAGATTAACTTCTCAGAAAGTTTACAAACCCATTGAGGTTGTATACCTTCCATTATTGACAACTTTCAATATTTTTCCCATTCTTATGCTCCTGAAAATAATTTTTGTTGCATATAAAAATTATTTTGTCCATTCTTTAGTCAATGTGTGTGAAACAAAATGTTTCCATAGCAACATGAGGTTTCCTTGCTTGATTTGAATAAAACGTATGTAGATGTAAGATATATTGATGGAGAAACATTCTATAGATTTTGGGGTCAAAGGTCAAGGTCATTATTACTAGTGTCTTTTCTAAATTCAAAAGATGAAAGGCTGCAGTTTGAACTGATGAAAAGTATTTATTATTTTTCTTCTAGCATATTTGAATTTTCATTCTTATGTGCTATATAATGCTATAAACAGTAATCAGTGTTTATCAAAATTTAAGGTAATGGAACAAAGATAGCTTAAAATTCGATGTTTCATTGACATTCCTCTTTGTATAAGTAAACTAAATGTACAATCTGTATTTGAATTAAGTATTGTCAATATTGACAAAAGAGTGTGTTTTTATACCATTTGCGGTCGTATATTGGTATCACGTCGTCATCGTAGTCCGAAGACAGTTGGTTTCCGGACAATGACTTTAGTATAATTAAATAGAAATCTATGAAATTTAAACACAAGGTTTATAACCACAAAAGGAAGGTTGGGAGTGATTTTGGGGGTTATGGTCCTAACAGTTTAGGAATTAGGGGCCAAAAAGGGGCCCAAATAAGCATTTTTCTAGTTTCCAGGCAATAACTTGTGGAACGGTGTATGGATCTCTCTGAAATTATACCACAAGTTTCCATACCTCAAAGGGATGGTTAGGATTGACTTTGGGGGGGTTATGGCTCAACCCGTTTAGGAATTAGGGGCGAAAAATGGGAAAAACAAGGGTTTCCTGGTTAATGGACAATCAAGACAATTAAAAAGCTGGTTAAGGGAGGTAATCCAAACACAACATTTTGATTACCTCCCTTACACTGCTTTTAAATTATGTATAAAGAAACTCAATTTTCCAAAGAAAAAAATTGGGGGTCATAATTTATTTTGCTAATTCTTTGTATATAGTCTGAAAACATATTTACTAAGTATTGCGCAACAGCACAGTGTATTGCACAACAGCAAGAAATCTTCAATTGAATATAAATTCAAAGCATACAACCAATTTCAAGTTCTTTGACTACATTTATTCTGTGTCAGAAACCTATAATGTGTCAAATATTTAATTACAATCCTGTATCAAGCGCCAATATTGTGTCCAATTTTGCCCAAACTGTTCAGGGTTGGACCTCTGCGGTCATATCCAGCTGCGCTCGGCGAAGCAGTTTATTTTTTAATAGGGTTCATATTTTTTTTTCAAAATTTTCAAAATTTCAAATTTTTGAAAAGTTTCAAGAAGAAATCTTCAATTGCACAGTATTGCGCATTAGATTTGTAAGATCTTTGACCACATTTATTTTTTGTCAGAAACCTATATTTTGTCAAAAATTTGATCACAATCCAAATTCAGATATAGTATCAAGCTTGAATATTGTGTCAAAATTTGTTTCAACTGTTCAGGGTTCAACCACTGCGGTCGTATCAGGCTGTGCTCAGTGAAGCATTTTATTTTTCTTAACATCAATATATTATTAAATTATGCATGATAAATTGTAAGTACTGCTGTATACATGATATTATAGTAGTAGTCTGCATGTAAAGTGGACCCCAGTGAACACATTAACCACAACAAAGCTTAAGTCAGAGTGAAACTGATCTGTGTACAGCAGTATAAAGAAGGTCATTTGCACAAAAAATCCGGAATTTCTTGATTTTTCCCGATTTTTGACCAGCTGGAAGTAGTCGTTCACTGAGTGTATTTCAATAATAAACACGATCAGTAGTTATATTCCCACCGGTTAACACTATTTTTGGAAGTTTTAGGCCTCTGATCTGCATGTGTCAGACACAGAAGGGAAGCCCACCCCTAAGCTAAATATAAAGAAAAAAACCAGTTTTATCCGATTTCAATTTTCCAAGTCTGTATTTCAGCTCAAAATGCATAACATAACAATAAATAGCCTTAGGTTGAGAAGACATGCATCAATTTCAAAATTAATGCCATGATATTGACCTCTAAAAGTATGGAGAGCCATTGGAGCCAAAAAAAGAGTATTTTGGGTACAGGCTATAATATTATGGCCCCCTCATGGTAACGGTTAATTTAAGTTTTAATTCAGTTCTTAGATGCTAAGTTATTTATTATCAAAGTATTTTCTTTTGACAGGATGTTAGTTGCAATGAAATATCTCAACTCCCCCCACAGATTGGTGATCTCAAATCATTGAAGTCATTAAATGTTCGGCGAAATATGTTAATAGAATTACCCATAGGTAAGATATAAATTATAAATGTTCATATTTTACATGAAATAATATGAGCCAACATCCCTTTTAATTACACTTTAAAAGAGTAAGAACATAGAAATAATGGAATAAACAAACAAATAACAAATGCGCAGGAAGTAACATAAAACCTCATATAGCATAAAAAAAATTATGAAAAAAAAACCATATAATTTGTCAATGGAGAATAAAGATATCTAATACATAGATCAGGACAAGAGATATCTAATACACAGATCAGGACAAAAGATATCTTAATACATAGATCAGGACAAACAATATCTAATACATAGATCAGCATTAAAAATACATCTGAAATCCAAATAAAATTTACCCATCCAGAAATCTCAATCTGTACGACACACTACAAGGTAGGGAGGTTATAAGTAAAAAGAATATTTTTACGCAACCATTAAAAAAAACTATTACAAATATTAAACTTTATTTTGATTTCCTGATATCATGTATTAAAGTCATATAACAATTATATATATTTTGATATTGTTGCAGAACTCAGCAAATTAAGTTTACGAAAAATAGATTTTTCAAATAATAGAATATCAACAATACCAACAGCATTTAGGAAAATTGAAACATTGGAGGAAATTCTGTTGGATAGTAATCCATTAACAATGCCACCTGCACATGTAAGTATGATCAAACTGAGTGAAAAAATATGTGCACAAAAGATTATTTTTCTTTCATCTAAATTTGGTACATAGTAAAATGATGTGGAGATTTTCACGATTTAATCTGCTATAGGTAATAAATAAGCTTATAAAAATACTGAATAAAATATCCAGTCAATTTTCCGAAAATGTGTCCTCCGAGGAAAATTACTCATTTTCAAAATTCCAAATAATTTTTATTTTTCTCTTCTTTTAAATGGTAAATTAGGGGAGGGGGTGCTATGCAGCATTTTAGTTCAGAAAATCATAGATGAAACCCTGTGGAGAAAAAAATGAAAACAATATATCTTAAGTCCATTTTTATATGACCGCAAAAAAATTTTGCGGTCGTATATTGGTATGACGTCGGCGTCGTCCGAAGACACATTGGTTTTCACACTCTAACTTTAGTTTAAGTGAATGGATCTCTATGAAATTTTACCTTAAGGTTCAATACCACAAAAGGAAGGTTGGGATTGATTTTGGGGGTTATGGTACCAACAGTTAAGGAATTAGGGGCCAAAAATAAGCATTTTTGTAACTTCCAGACATAACTTGTGTGTTAGTGTATGGATCTCTCTGACATTGTACCACAAGGTTCCATATCACACAGGGAATGCTGGGATTGATTTTGGGGGTAATTGCCTCAAAATATTAGGATTTAGGGGCCAAAAAAGGGGCAAAAAACAAGCATTTTTCTAGTTTCATGACAATAACTTGTGTGTAAGTGTATGAATCTTTCTGAAATTGTACTACAAGGTTCCATATCACAAAGGGAAAGCTGGAATTGTGTTTGGGGGTGATTGCCCAAAACGTTTAGGAATAAGGGGCCAAAAAGGGGCCAAGAATAAGCATTTTTCTAGTTTCCAGACAATAACGTGTATTCAAGTGTATGGATCTCTCTGAAATTGTACCACAAGGTTCCATATCACACAGGGAATGCTGGGATTGATTTTGGGGGTAATTGCCTCAAAATATTAGGAATTAGGGGCCAAAAAAGGGGCAAAAAACAAGCATTTTTCTAGTTTCATGATAATAACTTGTGTGTAAGTGTATGGATCTTTCTGAAATTGTACTACAAGGTTCCATATCACAAAGGGAAAGCTGGAATTGAGTTTGGGGGTAATTGCCCAAAACGTTTAGGAATAAGGGGCCAAAAAGGGGCCAAAAATAAGCATTTTTCTAGTTTCCAGACAATAACTTGTGTTCAAGTGTATGGATCTCTCTGAAATTGTACTGCAAGGTACCATACCACAAAGGGAAGGCTGGGATTGAGTTTGGGGGTGATGAATCATAAGAGGGTTCAAAAAATTGGGGGGGGGATTTTTTTTTTTTTCATTTTTTTTCTTTTTTTTTCTTTTTTTTTTTCTTTTAAAATTTTCCATTTTAAGTTGGTTATTTCTGTTTTATATTTAAAAGCAAATAATAATGATATGGTAGGAGATACACACCAAACAGGATGTGTAAATTATTATATAATAAGTATTGTGCAATAGCAAGAAATTTTCAATTGCAAAGTATTGCACAATAGCAAGAAATCTTCAATTGCACAGTATTGTGCAATAGCAAGAAATCTTCAATTGCACAGTATTGTGCAATAGCAAGAAATATCCAATAGCACAATATTGCGCAATAGCAAGAAATTGTCAATTGTACAGTATTGCGCAATAGCAAGAAATATTCAATTGCACAGTATTGTGCAAAAGAAGATACTTCGTATAAATTGCTTATTTCTTGACCAATTTCAATGGGGTTTTATTCTTGAATTCTTGGGGTTCTTTAATATGCTGATTCTAACCGTGTATTAAGTTTTTGGATTTTGGGCCCTGTTTTTAAATTGGTCCACATTGAGGTCCAAAGGGTCCAAAATTAAACTTTGTTTGATTTCATCAAAAATTGAATTATTGGGGTTCTTTGATATGCCGAATCTAACCGTGTATTTAGATTCTTAATTTTTGGTTCCGTTTTCAAATTGGTCTACATTAAGGTCCAAAGGGTCCAAAATTAAACTTAGTTTGATTTTAACAAAAATTGAATTCTTAGGGTTCTTTGATATGCTGAATCTAAACATGTATTTAGATTTTTGATTATGGGCCCAGTTTTCAAGTTGGTCCAAATCGGGGGTCCAAAATTAAACTTTGTTTGATTTCAACAAAAATTGAATATATGGGGTTCTTTGATATGCTGAATCTAACCATGTATTTAGATTTTTGATTTTTGGGCCCCATTATCAACTTTGTCCACATTGAGGTCAAAAGGGTCCAAAATTAAACTTTGATTTCATCAAAAATTGAATTCTTGGGGTTCTTTGATATGCTGAATCTAACCATGTATTTAGATTTTGGATATTGGACCATAATAGGTGAATGTCCAATTTAAGATTTTTAAGTTCTTAGACCACATTCATTCTGTGTCAGAAAGCTATGCTATGTCAAATATTTAATCACAATCCAAATTCAGAGCTGTATCAAGCTTGAATGTTGTGTCCATACTTGCCCCAACTGTTCAGGGTTCGACCTCTGCGGTCGTATCAAGCTGCGCCCTGCGGAGCATTTTATTATTTGTTAGAAATCAATTGGTATTTATTAATTATGCAGAAAAGGTTATGGTGTCAAAAGGCTAGAACATAAAAGTATAGCTGTACCTGACTATAAGTAAGAATGTACAATTAAATGTTGTTTCTTGTCACTATAATAGTGAATATTTATCTGATACTATGTCAATTTTACAGTTATGTACAAAAGGAAAGAAACACATCATGAAATACTTACAAATAGAAGCAATAAAAGAGGACCGTAGAAGAGGTGTTTTGAATGAAGCAGAAATGAAACGTCTTGTTAGAAAGTCTCTTCCAGTAACACAGTAAGTTTCTCAAGAAGATTTAGGATATCTACATTTCTCACTCAAACATTACCACATTTCTTTTAGGGAATACATAGCCTTGAAATAATAGATAATACAAAATTTAAATGGCAGAAAAATATAAAATGCAGACTTTTTAATTCATGCATGGTGAGAATAATATACATCACAATCCTTTCCCAATAATATGTTCTCATAGAATTTGTTTTTTGTGAATGTATACCTGATGGTAATTTTAAGTTTGGCTGTTTCTATGGTTACTTTGGCTGTTTCTGCGGTTAGTTTAGTCAAACTCTTCAATGAAGTAAGATTAATCCTAATATTTTTATTATCTATGAAATAACTGGGCAAAGGAAGCCGCAAGATGTACTTTATCTATTTGAAAAATTTGACCATGCTGGGTAAACTAATGACATCTTTTACCAATATGGCTAATACCAAGGTGTTTAAATCAATCATTCAAGTAGATATGGTTTTCCATTGATTTATTTACTGGAAATGTTGTTTATTTTCACTATACATTTATAAAGCTCTGATCGATCAATATTCAAGGAAATCAAACATTGGTTCAATGTCACTAGGTGTAATTGCATTATTAGATATAAATAAAAAGGGATGTGGGGAAAACATCAATATTATTGATACATCAACCAAACAACACAAACTTAAAAAAAAATATCTAAAGCTAGGCATATGGTCTTTAATGATAGACAGGTGTCTTCACCATTTGTCAAGCCTATCTGTTTAGATAAATTTTGAATGAATTGAAGAGAGAATACCAAATTTCAAAATTAACAAAAAGAAAAACACAAAAAAGAAAAAAAACATCTGATGATGTTACTTACTTTGGAGAGGGTCATTGTTGTGGCATAATGCCAACTAATCAACCTTCCGTTGTTTATATCAACCATCTATAACAATGCTATTAATGTTTCAGAGAATGCTTACAGTTATTGAAAGTTAAAAAAAACTTGTTTTTTCTAATATAGAAATAATGTTATCCAAGTCTGGAAGGCCATTAGAATATGAGTATTATTGAATTGTGAATATATATAAAAAATGTTTATGTATATATAAGACCATGTTAGAAATCACTACAGCTGTTTGTCTAAATACTGAAAATGTTTGTTTTAATATTACAGAACATCAGATGAATTCCGAAATATCTTGGAATCTCCGGAGAAATGGAAACGTCACACAGTTCTAAGTAGTGATTCAGGCTACAGTACAACAGATAGTATAGAGAAATGTGGATGGTCAGCATCCGATGTATGTACAAAATGGGAAACAAGATAATATTATATATATCTTCTTCTTTCCATTCACCTGCCTAAATTACAAAACAATTGCTACTACTACTCTCTAACAAACAAACAAAAAATGCATATTTTAAAGCTTCATATCCTGTATAAAATGATAACTCAGTAAAATGGGTGTGCATGGGGACAAAAACAGTCTCTTCTCATCACAAACAATGCTACAGCAAAACTACAATTATCAATTACATTCTTTTTAAAAGGAATATCTATAGTAGATAAAAATGTTTAAAATGATATCAGTTTGCATGACTACTAGTTCTTTTCGTGCATGTTATTGTTATTGTTCTATGTTGAATGTTACTTCAAAAGTATTATTAAAACTTATTATAAAAATAGATATCTTTATGTAGAGCCTCAAATGAATAAACACATTGACTCATTTATTATCAAATTCAAAATTATGTTCCATTTAAAAAAGCATGGTAAGATTCACTTGCCTATAGTATGCACTTCTTTAACACATCCTTCTTAAATTGGAAAACTTTTTAATGGAAACACAACCCAGGTTTGGAATTATACTTTAATAAGAAAACATCTCAAATTAGATTAGTTAAAAGCTTGCACTAATTGTATCTTCTCTTGGTTAGGTAAAGTGTGTAACTGTTTGAAAAGTTATACACATAGTTATATACAAACCAAAGTTCCTCAAAAGATTTATTTAAAACAATTATCAACTCACAGCTAATGATTTGTAAGAAATAGATATAAAGATTTATAGGTCTTGAATTATGGCCCCAGGCTATATAACAGCATCTAAGTTTGAGAAATGACATTAAGTTATTAGTTATTAAGCACCACTCTATATGTAATCCTCGTAAATATACCTAAGGTTCAGGAATCTTAAGATATATCTGAAAGGAATAAAAATTCAGGGTGTTATAAAACTTTATGACATGTCTATATCTATTCTAGGGTAGTGATGTAATGCTATGTTATAGATTACCGTTGATGAAATTCAGTTTTAAAAAATTATCTGTAAATGGTGTCTTTGAAATTCTTATGTAATTTGTTAAACAAATCTATATATGAACTTGTTATAAATGCCATGCAATTAGCTTTTCATTGTTGTGACTGGAAAGGTATTTATTTATAAAAAATTTGTAAAATTTAGATTTTGAAGAGAATAAATGAGTTAAAGACTGAAATTTATATATTCTTAAAAAAATCCTTAAAGTGAGCAGCTGTAGGCAATCTAAATTTTGGAATAAACTTTCCAATAGAAAATACACCTCACTTAAAGTACCTTTCAACCCAGAATATGGATTTTTCTCCTGGAATTTATTCTGGCATAATATAACTTCCTGAAAGATGGAAAGAAGTTTCACAACTGTATTAAACTTTAAAATAAAAAGTAAAACTTTGCCATGAATAAATACCTTTTCAGTGTTGTATTTGATGTAGCTTTCCATTCTGTGTATGCATGCTTCTTTATTTCTACTTGTTCCTCTAACAGGCTAACAGTGACATGGAACGAGCCAATTTGCTTGCCTTACGCTCAGCTGAAATGCTTAAGGATCACAGAGTTCCAATTAATGGTCACATGCAGTCGCCTCCACATGTGTATGCCAGAAAATCAGAAAATAGCCCATCGTCAAACCCAGAGCAAGTGAAAACAAGTGTTCCTCAAAATACCTATGGGCAATACGGCAATAATTATAAAGACAGTTCTGGTCATTATAACAATACAGATTATCAAAGCAATAATGTGAATGGACCAATGATGTATCGATCCAATTTTTCTAATTCATCAAATGAAAATCAAAATTATAGTCAGAATACCTATAGTAACTCTCCAGTTTATTCACAGTCTAGTGCTATTTATTCACAGAATAATGAAGTTACAAGTCCAAATTCCAGTAGGCAGCAACCTCAATACTCTTCTCAATCCTCGAATAACCTACAGCAGTATGGACAGTATACGACTAATAATGGCCAGCGCTCAGAATCAAAATATACACCAATGTCTCCTACACATAGTAGATATACCACATCACCAAACACCTTTCAGTACACATCACAATTAAATTCTGGACAGAATGTTAACTATAGGGTTAAACCTCCTCCTGTTGTCACTAATCAAGAGTTCAATCCAGAGGCCAGTCCTACTTCTCCAAGGACACCAAAAACTCCAACACCAGGATATTATCAATCTGGACAAGTGTATTCTCCAACATATGGCGGTTACTCAACTGGACCCAATTCACCGAATGCACCAATAACACCAGTGAATACCACTCCAAAAGACATGGAGAATGAAATATCAAGGGTCAGTGTTCCATTTTTGTATAAATTTGGATTAATTTCTAAAATGTTGACTAAAACTTTGATATTGGAAATGTCAATGATTTCGAGCAAAAAAGGGAACTCTCAAGAATCAGTTAAACAGATTAATTGGCAAAGATAAGATGTTCTCTTGATAAATTGGAATCGTCACTAACATCACAAACATCAGTTTATATTTTTGCGGTATTTTGATATTTTTTTTTATACATGTCCAACATTGAATCAAAACAAGAGCTGGTTTACAAAAGAACTGCTTAAATTGATACACATAATCATTGTTTGCAAGTATGAGTGTTTGCATGGATGGTATCTTATCAAATTTTGCATCAGTATTATACTTTTAAGTTCTTTTTCTTTACATTTTCCTTCTTTTAAGTTGTTATCTTATGTTGAATTTGTTGACTATATATTCCTATTGGTCAGTGATAAGGTGGTGAGTATGGTTACAACACATTAGATACAAGTTTTGAAGGATGCACTGAATGTGACATAAATATGGAAACATGATATTACTGCTCTTTTGTCTGTTTCTGTTATTTTAAACAACAACAATGACTCCTATACTTGTTTGTAAGCACTGTATAAGGTTTAATGTCGATAAAGCTGATAACATTAAAATATTATAAAAAATTAAGAATGCAAAATTTGAAAATTGTTATATTGTAATCAAAATTAGATGTGATTGTTAGAAATGACTGATATTGAATTGCCAAGATATATTATGAATAAAATTGCAAAAAATTGTATCCTTCTGTCCATTTATAATTTTTGCATTATCTCTGAACTTGAAGAAACTTTACAATTGAACTTTACTCAGATAATGGAAACAAGAAAGGCATTCTATTTGGTATGAGTATTCGATAGAAACAGTATAATTATACTTGTCATAAATTTATGCCATACCCACTGTGTTAAACCTTTATTCTCTACCTTTTCATAGACTAATGGAATATTATATCTGTCAAGATTTAGAACAATATTACAAAATGGAATGGATTTTTATTTCTTTCTGTATCTAAAATAGTTTGCTTATTATCTTTACAATTTATAGATGTTACAACTACAATTTAAGAGAATGAAATGAACATCTTGTTTACATATCTCAATAACATTTTGACTATTTGGCAGAATTCTGCAATGCAAGTGCACTTGTGAATTCTTTTACTCCTACATTCTTCTTTCTATCTTGCACTTTAAATGTATGTGAACAGATAGCCTGAATTGAAAAGAATTCATGAATTTTTACCTCCTACCATTGTAAGCTTTACCTAGTTAAGAATTTTTTGAAATGTTATACTACAATCAACCTGTAAGTTTCAGATTATAGATATAATCCCAACAGATGATATGTAAATAAAATAAAGATACCCTATAATTATTATTAATTTCTCACTAGGAATTACAAAGACAACAGGCTGACTATAACAGGAAAAAACAACAAGCAGAACAAATAAGAATGCAACATGAAGAAGAATTAAGAAGACAAGAAGATGAAGAAGAGAAAGAAAACAGAAGACGTGCTGCCCTCAGATTACAGGAAGAACAAAGAATGTTATTAGAGAGACAAATGGAAGAAGAGAGACAGAGGGAGGAATTAAGGTTTGTAGAGTTAAGACAGTACATTTTAAAAACATTTTTGATGTGAAAATCCATCTTTGTTGTCATTTTTAAAAGAGGGTGTAAAGATTAAACTTGTAAGACAAATATAAATATTTAATATAAAACAGGCTTAGAAAAACATGAACTACAAATAGACCAGATTTGATGAATGTGACACTTTATCAGTCATCTGTAGCATCTGTCTGTATTGAAAAAAACTATTTGGTGTTAGTAATGTGTGAGATATAAGACAAACATTATTAAATCAAATATCAAAGTTGATTCTACTTAAGGTTTTGTTGTGAATGTGTTTTTTTATGCCCCCGTCGTAGCGGTGGGGGCATTAAGTTTTACCCTTGTCCGTCTGTACGTACGTCCCAAAATTGGTTTCCATTTTCTAACTTGAGTTTGCCTCAACCAAATGTTATGAAACTTATACACATTGCTTATTACCACAAAACACAGATCAAATTTGAATTTTGGTGGCGTCACTTTAACCGTTCTAGAGTTATGCCCCTTTATAAATGGAAAAATTGCAAAATTTTTAGTTTCCGTTCCCTAACTTAAGTTTGCCTCATCCAAATGTTATGAAACTTATACACAATGCTTATTACTACATGATACATATTAAGTACGAAATTTGGTGGCGACACTTTTACCATTCTTGAGTTATGTCCCTTTATAAACATAAAAATTGCTGAATTTTTCGTTTCCGTTCTCTAACTTTAGTTTGTCTCAACCAAATGTTATAAAACTTATACACAACCGTTCTAGATGAGTGTTTACAAATAGAAAAATTGCTGAATTTTTAGTTTCTGTTCTCTTCTTAAGTTAGCCTCAACCAAATGTTATGAGACTTACACACAATGCTTATTACCACAAAACTCAGATCAATTCAAATTTGGGTAGCGTCACTTTTACCGTTCATCAGTTATGTCCCTTTGTAACTATATGATATGCAAGGTGGGGCATCATATCCACATTTATTTCAATAAATTTTTCATATGAGCAGGAAATATTTGAGTATTTTTATTATTTGACTATTAAAAGTGTCATGTTATGATCAATTTAGAAATAGCATAAGGAATAACTTTTTTTAATTAGAAAAGCATTTTAGGCTTCAGTAATTTGACAACCATGAATAGTTTTACACTTTTGCTTTCTGAATCTTGTTAATTCCAAATCCAGTGTTGATTAATTATTTTTTATCTGAGGAGTTATGTCTCTTAAAAATGTAAATAATATCGTAAATCAACATTGTAAGCCCTTTTGCAACTACATTCCTTTGTTGGAGTTTGATGAACAAAGGTTTACATCAGCATTATCTCAGATGAATTTAAAAAAATTAGTGTTCATTAAATATTTATATTTATAATTATTTTAGAATTTATTTCCTTTGGAAATGTAGATGATCTTGAAAATAAACAATAGTATTAAAGCTCTCTTGCATCTACATTTGTCATTGGAGTTTAATGTACTTATGTCAAAGGTTTACATTCGCGATTGCAGATGAGTTTGAAAATCATTGATAATATATGGTCAATGGACATTGGCTGCTCTGTAGCAATCATATTTTCTAATTATATTTGAACAATTGAACATGGTGGACTACAACAATTCAAGAATCGATTCATGGGCTGTAAAAATAAATGATTCAACATGAAGATCTACATTAATCAATTCATTCATGGTGAAAAATCCTATTTACAATGGATTGCACTGAAACATGCAAAACAGCAGCCATTGAAAAAATATGCATAACACAATTTGATTAGAATACTTCTATAATGTATACCACTTAAAAAAACGATTTTACCTTTTTCAGATTACAAGAAGAAAGAAGACAGCAGGAAGAAGCTCACAGAAAAGAGGAACAAAGGAAAAGAGAAGAAATCAGATCATTGGAAGACCAAAAGAGAAAAGAAGAAGAACATAAACAAAAACAGGAGGCCCAACAATACAAAGTGGAAAATAAGTATGTTCGAATCTCAGCTTCATTTTTTTTTTTTCATTTAATACCATGATAGCACAAACACAACATTTTAAATTTACGAATGTAAGGGGACATCAAGGAAAAAAAATTAAAGAAAGACATACTTGTGATGGTAATTTCATTTTGCACAAACAAAATTTGCAGAAATTTGCAAGAATGTATACTTTTTTGTCTGTAATGGCCTGCCTCTCATGCCTTCGTTATGCTTTTGAATACTAATCTGCTGATAAAATGAAAGAGTTTGTCTGTATAACATATGAAAAACTACATGAAACACCTTAAATGTATATTTTATTGTTGTATTTCTGTTTTATAAATGTAATATCAAAGCTTCATTGAAAGATATAATAATTTGATAATTTTGAAAGAAAGTATTTACTAATCACTTTTGACTATTGTCTGTTGTTCATTTCAGTAACACATTGCATGTTATGTTTTCTTTTTCCCAAATTCATAGAAACATGAGATTGAAGTATGAATTCATTATTACTAATATATATCATCCTAGTGAAAGTTTCAGCAATGCTTGCATGAAATGAAATAAAGAAAAATATCTGCTTAGATAAATTGCTTTTGTACCTAGGTATAACTCGCCATACATCATGGACAGCTTTAATGCATGGCTTAGGTAAACAGAAAAGTGTGAATTTGCATTGAAAAAATCATGTGTTTGCACAATGGATACTACTGAAAATATAGAAAAACAACCTATATATGTTCACTGTCTTTTCCTGAATTTATGTCTTCTCAAAGAACTATGCAGGTTAATTGATACTCCACATGCTGTTTGGTCAAATTAATGAAAAGTTAATAGGAACTATGTGTCTAAAATTAACTCTTAAAAGCAGTTCTAAACATCGTGTCAGTGGTTATCTATTGGACTTATATTCCAATCACTTTTGAGGTAATCTGTCCTTTGAGCAGACAGTAGGTTATTTAAAGCTTTGAATGCTTTTTTGATTTTGTGTGCTGAATTGCAATTCTGCTTCAATCATTTTGTTTTTCACATCTGCAAGGAAATTGAAACCACGCTCAAGAACACTAGATAATGTTACAAGGTATGATTTGTAGATGGAATGGCTTAACACACGAGTTGGTTTTAGTTAACAGCTTTGTTTCTGCATGACTTTCCTTCACATTGGTTAATTGGTAACATTGTAGTATCATTTCCATTGGTCATTCATATTTCATTTTCATTGTGTGGAGATACATTTATCTAAAATCACTAGCATAATAAAAATTTTTGTATCTATATCTGAAAGTTAGATTTTGTTCTGTCTTTCACATGAAGCACAAGTATGTGAACTTGCTTTTGAAAAAAAGAGTGGAAAAATGGTAATTTCATTAAAAATCTCTTTTCAGATGGACCTTAATGAACTTCTTCAAGAAGGCTAATGAAAATTAAAATTATATCTTCTCTCCTTGTACAGATCACTCTCCTTTTTAATATATGTTTTATGTGCAAAAGTGCATTTTGGTTATAACTGAAAGATTGTAAATACTTGTATATAATGAAACTTATATCATTGTGGCTGTCCAGTTCTTGCTTTAGACTTTCCCTTTAATAACCTATGTCGAATTCTTGATCCTGGTATATTTTGATAAGTAAGGTGAGTTATCAATATAAGTGAGTCTCTTATTCCATTAATACTTATACTGTTGATTTTTTCATCACTGCCAATCATACCTCGTGCAAAAGGTGCCAATTCTCTCAAATTTACAAACACCATTGAACTTTCTCAAATTTCAAGAAATGGTAATAAAATTATCTCATTTTGATTATGTTTTGGAACATAGTATTTTCTTTTTGCAAAGATCCTAAGATTTAAAAGAAAATTGGCACCAAAATGTTTTACAGGAGCCGTCTGCTTGCTAGTATCTATTGTTGCATGTGGACTGTAGCATGATGTTTATTTACAGTTATGGGTATAACCAAGGTTGGCATGACAGACCAGGGATCAGATATAATGGACATACGGCAGAATCCTTTGGCATGCAATATAGGTACTGTGTCTGAGGATGGTTTCAATAAATACCAAAAGAATACTCATAAATAGATGTATAGGTTTTGATTAAAGATACTGTATTGCTGAATCAAACATATATTTAATTTTTTTCCTGAAAAATATTGAGAGGAAATATCATTGAAACGTTTCAAGGCTTTGATACATATTTATTTATTTCTTTGACTTCACAAATTTTCATTGTAAACTGAATGCATTGGTGCAGCATCTGAACATGATTTAAATGTCCTTGTGCCTGCTAGAAGTAGATAAATTAACTTTTCACTCAGTGACTAATTTGTGTGTGTGTGATCAACTCAAAAGTAATTTTAAAGAGAGATATGATGAAAAAGACACCATATTGTTTCTTGCATTTGTGCATTTACTATTAACTTGCAGAGAATGTTTATAAGTCTGATAACATCTGAGTAAAGTAATTACTTAGGAGATTAACTTGCCTCTAGATTACATGTTTCACTTGATATGTCAGAATGCAGCAAGTCGTAATAATACTACTAAATATATTAATGTAACTCATTCTTTTAAATTAACCAATTTCATGTTGTATGAGTAAAAGCTATAAGTTTGCTGTGTTTCTATTGATGTTGCTATCTTGATTATATGTGTGTTTAAGTTTTCTCTTTTTGGTTGTTTTCACTCTAATACTAATTATTTTTCAGTTTGTACTATTTTAGTTCTTGCCTCCTTCACTGAGTGATTTGACTTGCTTCTTTATGCTATGTAAACCACCCTGGATGCCTGCCCACTTAACACAGCTGTTGCTTTGCTTAAGCTTCCATTCAGAATACAAATTTCTGCATTATATTTAGTAGTTTCACTCAGAAATGATTGACAAAGAGGATCTTTATGTGATAAATATAGTAGAAATTTTTGATATTTATTGTACTATCAAAATTGAGTATGGTTGATGCATTTTTTGCCAATTTGTTTATTGAAAATATTTATGCCAAGTATATTCAGAATATAGAAAGCGTGAAGCTAGATATGAAACCATTACGTTTCAGTTGATCAGAACTTATCTGTTCATGTAAAATCGTATTTATTTTTACTTCAGCAAGTCAATAAACCACAATTGCAAACAAAATCTTTTTGAAACACCAAAAATAGATCTTCATAACAACATGGAAGAAAATAAAGACTTTCTGTGATGAAAGATTTGAAATACAACCACTTTTGAAAGTATTAAGCACAAGGTTATATATAATAGGATTATAAATATTCTCATGATTTAAGCATTTGATTTTAACATTTTGTGGTGTTTGAGAATTTAACACATCTTTGCATGCTATGTTTTTGGTAATGGATAATCAAACATGGTATTTGGATGGTCCATGATTGTTGGTTGTATCTTGCAGAAAACCAAGTATCAAAACGTCAAGTTTCAACAAGGAGGACAAGAAACCTTCAAATTCTACTCAGTACCGGAGAACTGTCTCGGACACGGCGAAAAAACTTCAACAGCCTGCTAATAAAAAATCAAACGTTGTAAAAAAGTAAATACCAACATTCAGTTCATTGATTGAAACTTGCTGTAGTGGTATAGTCACTTGGTTGAATATCTGAATAAGACTTCATATTTCAAAAACAAGGTTCTTTGTTGTGTTCTGAATGCTCATAAGAAAGTGATTATAATTAAGGAAGCATAAATTTAACATACATAATCTGGGTTCATGTTTGTGTAAGGGTTGTTAAAAAAGAAATATGTGAATCAAAATTCAAAATTTGAAATCATTGTTTTAATCCAAAAAAATTCTATGTTTTAGGCATTCATAAAAATTCTTGTATGGTACTGTATACAACTGTCTACAACTAATGGCAACTATCTGCTAGATTTAGTAGAAATTTGTGACTAAAGATGATTTCAACATTTATAACATTCAAAATAATTGGTTACCATATTTTTCTGAAAACTTGTTAATAAAAAAATTTATATGCTGGTTTGCAAAAAGGTTTTTGAACAGCTTTTTGTAATTTCGTTTTTTTCGTTTCACTCAAGATATCAGCAGCAAGTTTCAAGTAAAAGTATATGTTTCATCCAATATTAACAAAGAAGTTCCAGGGTGGTCAAATGTGTGATTTTCACTTGCTTCCTTTAACAGCTAGGAGTGCATTCTAATACATTGGTTTGATTTAACTAGATAGATTACATATATATCATAGTCTGATAGAATACACAACAAAATTAGTGGTAGTTAAGCCAGATATATCACAAAAATATTATATAGTCAAACATTAATGACAAATGAAAGATAATGGAATGGATACCTAATAAGTAAAAGAATTTGAAAATGGAATGAAATTTTTAGTATAGGTTTTATAATCTTAATTACATTTTATACCTTTCTGTTTTCATTGTGGGAAGTTTTACTATTTTGCTTGCTGTCATTTTTAATTTTCCAAATTTTTATTCTGTTTCACTCCCTAATATTATTTCCTCTTTTAATTTCTTCAGTTCTTTAACACTGTTGTCTTTGTTTATATGTTTTTATGTTCTTCAATAGTACATGTTTTGTTGAAAAAATAGCTATTTGACATATTCCATTTGCAGTGGACCACTTAGCCCTTCGTCATCAAGTCCTTCTACACCATTGATATCACCAAGTCCAAGCCCGAGGTCATCAGTTAGTTCTGCTGGACCAAGTCCAGCCTCTTCATCAACTTCATTGAATAAGGACCCTAAGAGTGCTGGTGGTTCTATACCAAGAAGGCCAAGGACAATTGATAAAAACCCTGCTCCATCCTCTCGGCCATCACATGGAAATGTGTCTCGACCGTCTACAACGTCAACATTGCAATCTAGTCGTACAGCATCACGGACAACAGGAGTGACAAATAGTGCTGTGAAAAAGAATCATGTTACACCTGTTAGTAATATTACTTTCAGTATCAATATTTACAATCTGTGTTAAAAAATACTAATATGGCCGTTATGGCTAAAATAAAACATAAGGGTAAAACAGAAGTATTGTTTTTCAACATTTCATTTTCTATTAAAAAGAATAGGCTAGACATATCGCTGTGTCAACAAAGTTTATTAGTATTAGGTTTGCACCTTGATACCATTATTTAGTAATATGACTGTCTGTCATATTTGTTTTTCTTTTACTGTCTTGTCATAAATTAAGTTTTTGGTTTATTTTGGTTTGAAATGTTTCAGTTTTGTCTTGTCTGGGCCTTTTCTTTAAAGCTGACTAAACGTTATGGGTTTTGCTTATTGTTGAAGGTTGTACAGAGACCTATAGTTGCTTAAATCAACTTCATGTGGACTCTGTAGGATAGTTGTCTCATATGCAATCATACACATCACCTTATTTTATAATGATAGTGTAGCATTATTCTACTTTTGGATTCATTGTAAGGAGTATTTGTTTGTCTGACCTATTTAAGGTAGTCTTAAATTTATGTTTACACTCCTGTACTCAAAGGTCAGCAACATGTGGTATGTGAAATCATGAGAACATGTTTCATTTTACCCTAATTTCAGGTTAATTACATATTTGCCAAAACTACTTTGCTAAATTGAACCAATATTAGCAGGCATAATGTTTTTAAAGTTTTAAAAGTTCCTCATTCTGTATGATCAGACTAAAAACATGACCACCAAATTCTTGATTCTGATTGGTCAGCCTTTAGAGTTTCTTCTTCTCTGAAACTAAATGGTTGAATCCCTTACAAATTTATTTGGAATGATGATTGGGAATCCCTCTACAAGAGTTCTAATTGGTTCTGATAAGTTGATTGACAGCTAATGAATTAAGAGTTTAAGTTAGCATATCATTGATATTAGCAGGTTAAGTACTTTGAACTTTTGATTATTTATTATTGTTTTATTATAGAAGCTTTGTTTTTCCTATCTAGTACACTGATATAGCTATTGTTATAGTTATTGTTTTGTCCATTAGGGAGTTTGGTGTTGATTGTATAGACAGTTTAATTTATTTACAATTTTTCTAGACCTACAGCAATTAGGAGCTTTTCATGTTTTGATGATGTCTGGATTTTTATGCCTCTGTCATCACTGGAGGGGGCATTAAGTGTTACCCTTGTCTGTCCATACGTATGTCCTGAAATTGGTTTCCATTCTCGAACTTTAGTTTGCCTCAACCAAATGTTATGAAACTTATACACAATGCTTATTACCATAAAACACAGATCAAGTTTGTATTTGAGTGGTGTCACTTTTACCGTTCTTGAGTTATGTCCCTTTATAACGTTATATGCAAGCGGGGGCATCATCTTGTCCATGGACACATTCTCCATTTATATTGTTTGGCTAACGTCTTAAATTGATTGATTGATTAGTGTTAAAGCCACTTTCAGCACCATAGTGTTATTAGGTGGCGGTCAGTTTGTACTAGTGCAGGAAGCCGGAGTGATAGTAGAACCACCAACCTTTGGTAGGAAAACTGACAATCTTAGTCAAATTAAGATTGGAGTCCAGCACACCTGCCATGTATAGGATTCTAACTCACAACCTCTGTGGTTAATGTCTAATAGACGTGCCCTACATTTTTATTCATATATAATATTTGCATAAAGAAAAAATAAAATGATTGATATGATATGCACCTATTTTTTTTTTATTAAATTGATTTCCAATTTATATAGTCCTAATTCTCATGTTCATATAAAGTGATAGAATTTCATTTAACCATGAAGTTTTTGCCTGGTTTCTAAGACGCCTATTGAATCAAAAAAGAAATAGATATGATATATGACAAAAACAAGAACAAAATCAAAAAAAATTCTGTTTATGGTTAACTTGTTAAATGCAGTATTTTTTCTTCATTGGAAATCTCACTGCCATTATTTTAATGGAGAGATGGACACAAATGGGTTCAATAAGGCAATGAAATTAGAAAGGGTTTTGTGAATTGATGTTCAATCAATATGAATCCTAAACATTCATTAAATTACCGTTGCAGGAAGAAGAATTCAGACAGAAACACCAACAAATTAAAACGCAAACACAAGTGGAATCCCAGAAAGCCAAAAGTCAATTAGAATCGTCAACATCTAGACAGGTAAGATATAATTGTTTAAGGACAACTGGTCTTAAAAATGTATGCAAGGTAAATATTTTGGCAACATTGGTATGGCAGTATGGAATGAAAATCATAACATACATCAACAGCTCATCTAATAAAAGCAGAACTTATTCAGACAAAGGTTCAAAGATGAATTTTATTTTTTGAAATCAAAAGTCAGTTAAGGAAAGAAATAGAAAAACTGTTGTCTTCTGTATCTCTGACATCTATGCAGTTGCAGTCCACTTCTCAGAAATGTTTTAAGTGACAATACACCTTATCGCTATTTGTCCGCCATTACAGGACATCACACAGGTTCCCGTAAAATTTGATGTCATAATACAAAAAACATAATATCTGACGCCACAATGGAAAAGTGATTGTTGTATGACGTCAATAGTTCAAGCGGGACAGATTCTCGGGTCAGCCGGGAATAGCGATAAGGTGTATTCTAGATATTGAAAAGCTGTAATTTCTGACTACTACACTTTAATATTTTAGCTATGAAAGTTTTGTTCTCTCTGATCAGAGGGAATATCGTCTAAATGTATAATTTTTCTGTTCAGTATAAAATGAAAAAATAAAGCATTTATGTATTCTTTGGTTTTCAAATGATATCAGTGTGACCAATACCATCTTATTAATGCAGTTAAGATGTGTATTAGAATCATGTGCATAACAGCGTAGACGAGACCATTGATTGGCGCGCTAAAATATCCCATTGACTGGGTCAGATTAGGTGAACGTTCGTCTGTAACGCCCACAACTCACGATGTATTTATTATAGACATTTAAACTGTGGGGTCACCAAAGGGTCTCAACGCCTTAATAAAATAATTCGAAAAACTAATCAGGAATAACCATTGTGTTTTGATTTATATTGAATACTTAAACGGTCTTTACTTGTGTTTTTGTTATGTTTTGATAATCAATTTTTATGATATCGCACGTTCTTTCAGCAAAAAAAAAGGATTTAACTGGCTTTAAAAGTGTTGATTATTATCTTTTTTCGGACGTCAAAGCGATTTAACAATTGCGGTTGTCCAATTATGTCATCTTTTAACTTTTATTTGGTCAAAATTTTATTTTAGAACGAATGCATGATCAACTTTAAAAAGTGTGCAAACACAAAACATATAGACAAAATATACTTCTGTCCTGTCTTTTTTGTTCTTGCAAGTTATTAGACAGTAAAAAAAGCTATTTGGATCAAGCTTTGTGAAATTTGCATTTATGTTTTTGAATAGGTAAAATGTATAGTTTGGTGAACTTTTCTTCTAACTACTATACTTGCGAAAAACCCTTGGCAACAGAAACATATTCAGCTTTTTTTTTAATCGACCCAATTTACATAGTAATGGACGACTTCGTACATTTTATGATCGCAAATAAAATATGTATATAATAAACTGTGCACTGTAGTTCGAATATTCATTTTCTTTTGTTAATGGATTTTCCCGTCTTTCTGGGTAAGCTTACTCGCAAATAATTTAAAACCAAGACTTGCATTATAAAAATGTCAAAACATACCTTGATTTTCCTTTTTTTTTTAAACATACATCTCAGCCATAGATAAGGACTTAAATTCGCCAGGTCTTTAATTTCAAGTTAGTGAATTGACCAAAGTAATATTGCGGACCATTTGCCAGTTTCCATGCGGTATCCGTGTTTTTTCACTCGCTCTATTCTGCATCCACTCAACTTTCGTGTTTGTCATGACAAGGCCATTTGAAGCTTTCATGCTATATATATATACAGTGTGTGTTTTACTTATTGTTGAAGGTCGTACAGTGACCTATATTGCTAACGTCTGTTGACCACTGGAAGGGATTTGTCTGATTGTCTATCGCACCACATATTCTTATTTTTATATGCAGTTATATCTATAATAAAATTGAGAATTGAAACGGGGAATGTATCAAAGAGACAACAACCCAACCAAAAAGCAGAAAATTTGTTTTTCGTTAATTGTTTTGTTGTAGATTAGGCCGTTGGTTTTCTCAATTGAATTGTTTCATATTTTTCATATCGGGGACTGTTGTAGCCGACTATACGGTATGGGTTTTTCTCATTGTTGAAGGCCGTACGCTTGCCTTTAATTGCTTACATCCACTTCATCTGAACTTTGGTGGATAGTTGTCTTATTAGCAATCATACCACATCTCCTTATTTTTATATAAAGTTGTATCAATTGTGACTTTAGATACATTGGTGTATTTATTTTTGTTTGCGTAACGTCTAGTGTCAAATTTGTCATGCATGTTTAGGACTATTAAATATATTGCAGATAGTTTCGTAATTAATCGGCTTTAGATCTGTTATACGACAATAATACTTAAAAAGATAAAAGGTAGGAAAATTAAGAGACCACAACAACAAAGACTATCGAGTCCTGTCCATAAATAGTAAAATAGACGTTTAATCAACAATGAACAACACAAAACCCGGATAGCCGGACGTTTGGCTCAAAATTTAGTGGGACTAATCGAGTTTAATATGCAATCCCTCCCTGGCTAGACTTGGTGCAGGCACACAATCCAGTGGGTTAAATCAGTATAACATGCACCCTCCCCAGCCCGACATTGGCACAATATGTAGCGATGTGTTGCTGTGTGTTTGTTTCATCTACATTGGCTAGAGGTATAGGGGGAGGGTTGAGATCTCACTAAACATGTTTAACCCCGCCACATTTTTTGCTCCAGTCCCAAGTCAGGAGCCTCTGGCTTTTGTTAGTCTTCATTTTGTGACGTCCATTTGTTAAAGGGCCAGCTGAAGTGCGCCTTCGGATGCAGGATTTTCTCGCTGTGTTGAAGACCCATTGGTGGCCTTCGGCTGTTTTGTTTACTCTTTGGTCGGGTTGTTGTCTCTTTGAAACATTCCCAATTTCCATTCTCTATTTTAACTTGTAACCTTTCAAACTTTTTTTGTCGTCTTGACTGTGCGGTATGGGCTTTGCTCATTGCTGAAGGCCGTACGGTGACCTATAGTTGTTAATTTCTGTGTCATTTGGTCTCTTGTGGAGAGTTGTCTCATTGGCAATCATACCACATTTTCTTTTTTATATATATTTGGCAATAAACAATAAAAGAAAAATAAACTACACAGCGCAGCGTCCAACAGGATTACAACAAGAAAATTAATTTTAAAAATGCGGTCAAAAGTCAAAATTTGCCTGCAGCGGAAAAATGCAACAGCTTGATATTCATTTCAAATAAAATAATTGTAATGATTTACACAACGTTACTTTTTCCAATATTAACATTCAAATTATTTAGTTTTTTTGTTGTTTTTGATTAATTTACAACATCTTTACAAAGACCACATTCTGACTTCGATATTAAGTAGACCATAAAAGCGATGTTCATTATCTTGCTTCTGTTGTAAGTTTGAGTTAGTTATTTTGTGTCATGAATTGGTATTGATGTCACTCGTATGTTTTTATACGACCGCAAAAAAATTTTTGTGGTCGTATATTGGTATGACGTTGGCGTCGTCGTCGTCGTCGTCGTCCAGCGTCGTCGTCCGAATACACATTAGTTTTCGCACTCTAACTTTAGTTTAAGTGAATGGATCTCAATGAAATTTTACCATAAGGTTCAATACCACAAAAGGAAGGTGGGGATTGATTTTGGGGGTTATGGTACTAACAGTTAAGGAATTAGGGGCCAAAAAGGGGCCAAAAATAAGCATTTTTGTAACTTCCAGACATAACTTGTGTGTAAGTATATGGATCTCTCTGACATTGTACCACAAGGTTCCATATCACAAAGGGAATGCTGGGATTGATTTTGGGGGTAATTGCCTCCAAATTTTAGGAATTAGGGGCCAAAAAGGGGCAAAAAACAAGCATTTTTCTAGTTTCATGACAATAACTTGTGTGTTAGTGTATGGATCTCTCTGACATTGTATCACAAGATTCCATATCACAAAGGGAATACTGGGGTTGATTTTTGGGGGTAATTTCCTCCAAATTTGGGGAATTAGGGGCCAAAAAGGGGCAAAAAACAAGCATTTTTATACGACCGCAAAAAAATTTTTGTGGTCGTATATTGGTATGACGTTGGCGTCGTCGTCGTCGTCGTCGTCGTCGTCCGGCGTCGTCGTCCGAATACACATTAGTTTTCGCACTCTAACTTTAGTTTAAGTAAATGGATCTCAATGAAATTTTACCATAAGGTTCAATACCACAAAAGGAAGGTGGGGATTGATTTTGGGGGTTATGGTACTAACAGTTAAGGAATTAGGGGCCAAAAGGGGCCAAAAATAAGCATTTTTGTAACTTCCAGACATAACTTGTGTGTAAGTGTATGGATCTCTCTGACATTGTACCACAAGGTTCAATATCACAAAGGGAATGCTGGGATTGATTTTGGGGGTAATTGCCTCCAAATTTTAGGAATTGGGGGCCAAAAAGGGGCAAAAAACAAGCATTTTTATACGACCATGACAATATCTTGTTTGTAAGTGTATGGATCTTTATGAAATTGTACTACAAGGTTCCATATCACAAAAGGAATACTGGGATTGATTTTTGGGGTAATTTCCTCCAAATTTTAGGAATTAGGGGCCAAAAAGGGGCAAAAAACAAGCATTTTTCTAGTTTCATGACAATAACTTGTTTGTAAGTATATGGATCTTTATGAAATTGTACTACAAGGTTCCATATCACAAAGGGAAGGCTGGGATTGATTTTGGGGGTTTTCCCTCAAAATTTTATTAATTAGGGGCCATAAAAGGGCAAAAAAAACATGCATTTTTCTAGTTTCAGGACAATAACTTGTGTGTAAGTGTATGGATCTTTATGAAATTGTACTGCAAGGTTCCATATCACAAAGGGAAAGCTGGAATTGAGTTTGGGGGTAATTGCCCTAAACGTTTAGGAATTTGGGGCCAAAAAGGGGCCAAAAAACAAGCATTTTTCTAGTTTCCAGACAATAACTTGTGTTCAAGTGTATGAATCTCTCTGAAATTGTACTGCAAGGTACCATACCACAAAGGGAAAGCTGGGATTGAGTTTGGGGGTGATGAATCATAAGGGGGTTCAAAAAATTGGGGGGGATTTTTTTTTCCTTTTTTTTCTTTAACATTTTCCATTTTAAATTGGTTATTTCTGATTTATATATAAAAGCAAATAATAATGATATGGTTTGAATAGGCATACATGTGAACCTCCCGACGGGAGTACAATAATCCCGTTTTCAGGGGTCTCCTCCCGACCTCCCGTTGAAGAGGAAAAAATCCCGTGTATGAAATTTTTCATGAATGAAAAATTTCTGCCCAACATATCATCTCAGGCATCTGGTGTAACTGACATTACCTGAAGTTATATTTTACCTGTAAATCAATTAACATGCATAATTATATGGCTTCACTTGTCAGCTTGGGTGTCAAACATACAGGTAATCAACGATTTTTACCTCAGGCTAACTGCCGTTGTGTAACAAAAACTGTGTATTTATTGGGTTACTTCCCTTGATTTATCCTGTTTTAAGTTACTTTCCTTTTAATAATGAAAATTTTTAAAAGAATATAAATAAAATATAAATTGAACAAATAATCATAAAAGGATGGTTATTAAATGATTTTAAATGTCTTAGGACAAATAAAAAAATAATAATTTGAAAATTATTTGAGGATTCTAGACTTCCTTTTAAGGCTTAAATTGAAATTTATATAATAACTATGACCCTAATTTTACAGATAAAATGATTTTCTGAGTTTGCAAATAAAAACTATTTGCAAGAGAGAAAAAAAAAATAAAAACTATTTGCAGATAGCTAAACAAATGTTCTGGTTGCAATGATTGTTTTATAGAATATGAAGTAAAAAATTTAAAGAACATACTGGAAAAATACAATGTTAGATTGAACATGTAGAATATAAAGATGGAGAAACTTTATAAGTACAAGGGTACTATAAACATAATAAATTGGATGGAAAGTTGAAGAAAACACACTTTAAAAGACCATTTTTACAGCACACGGTTACATTTACAACAAAATTAATGTCGATTAAAAACCTCCTGATCTGAGTCCTAATCTCCTGACCAAAATTTCCCAATCTCCTGATCTGAGTTTCACAGTCCATCACATGTATGAATAGGTAAATTGAAAATTTTTAAGTTCTTAGACCACTTTCATTCTGTGTCAGAAACCTATGCTGTGTCAAATATTTAATTACAATCCAAATTCAGTGCTGTATCAAGCTTGAATGTTGTGTCCATACTTGCCCCAACTGTTCAGGGTTCGACCTCTGCGGTCGTATCAAGCTGCGCCCCAGCGGAGCATTTTATTCTAGTTTCATGACAATAACTTGTGTGTTAGTGTATGGATCTCTCTGACATTGTATCACAAGATTCCATATCACAAAGGGAATACTGGGATTGATTTTTGGGGGTAATTTCCTCCAAATTTGGGGAATTAGGGGCCAAAAGGGGCAAAAAACAAGCATTTTTCTAGTTTCAGGACAATAACTTGTGTGTTAGTGTATGGATCTTTATGAAATTGTACTGCAAGGTTCCATATCACAAAGGGAAAGCTGGGTTGGAGTTTGGGGGTAATTGCCCTAAACGTTTAGGAATTAGGGGCCAAAAAGGGACAAAAAAACAAGCATTTTTCTAGTTTCCAGACAATAACTTGTGTTCAAGTGAATGGATCTCTCTAAAATTGTACTGCAAGGTACCATACCACAAAGGGAAAGCTGGGATTGAGTGTGGGGGCGATGAATCATAAGGGGGTTCAAAAAATTTGGGGGGGGGATTTTTTTTTCCTTTTTTTTCTTTAAAATTTTCCTTTTTAAATTGGTTATTTCTGATTTATATATAAAAGCAAATAATAATGATATGGTTTGAATAGCATACATGTGAACCTCCGGACAGGAGTACAATAATCCTGTTTTCAGGAGTCTCCTCCCGACCTCCGGTTGAAGAGGAAAATTATAATCCCATGTATGAAATTTTTCATGAATGAAAATTTTCTGCCCAACATATCATCTCAGGCATCTGGTGTAACTCACATTACCTGAAGTTATATTTTACCTGTAAATCAATTAACATGCATAATTATATGGCTTCACTTGTCAGCTTGGGTGTCAAACATACTGGTAATCAACGATTTTTTACCTCAGGCTAACTGCCGTTGTGTAACAAAAACTGTGTATTTATTGGGTTACTTCCCTTGATTTATCCTATTTTAAGTTACTTTCCTTTTAATAATGAAAATTTTTAAAAGAATATAAATAAAATATAAATTGAACAAATAATCATAAAAGGATGGTAAATAAATGATTTTAAATGTCTTAGGACAAATAAAAAAATAATAATTTGAAAATTATTTGAGGATTCTATACTTCCTTTCAAGGCTTAAATTGAAATTTATATAATAACTATGACCCTTGTTTTACAGTTAGAATGATTTTCTGAGTATGCAAACAAAAGCTATTTGCAGATAGTTAAACAAATGTTCTGGTTGCAATAAATGTTTAATAGAATATGAAGTAAAAAATTTAAAGAACATACTGAAAAAAAAAAAATGTTAGATTGAACATGTATAATATAAAGATGGAGAAACTTTATAAGTACAAGGGTACTATAAACATAATAAATTGGATGGAAAGTTGAAGAAGACACACTTTAAAAGACCATTTTTACAGCACACGGTTACATTTACGACAAAATTTATGTCGATTAAAAACCTCCTGATCTGAGTCCTAATCTCCTGACCAAAATTTCCCAATCTCCTGATCTGAGTTTCACAGTCCATCACATATATGAATAGGTAAATTAAAAAATTATAAGTTCTTAGACCACTTTCATTCTGTGTCAGAAACCTATGCTGTGTCAAATATTTAATTACAATCCAAATTCAGTGCTGTATCAAGCTTGAATGTTGTGTCCATACTTGCCCCAACTGTTCAGGGTTTGACCTCTGCGGTCGTATCAAGCTGCGCCCCAGCGGAGCATTTTATTATAACTTGCCAAAAGAAAATATGTTCTCCTGTGCTGTACCAAATACTTATTTCCTTTACTGTTATTAATGTATCAGGTTGTCAACCAGTCAATTATTGTCTTTTATATCATTTGGTAAGTCTTTTTTAAGTAACATGTGGCACAACAGTGATTTTCATAAATATTCAAAAATTGAATTACTCTAGTGTTATCTTTTCATATGAATACATATCAAAGTCAACAAAAATGGTTACATAAAACAATCACTTAAAGGATTACAGGTCTCTTCTCAACAACTCTAAAAGGGGGGTTTTTGATGATACATTATTTTTGATGCATAGTACAAGAAACAATACTGTAAACATGTCAATTTTCTCACATGGGTTATTTTCACTTATTTTCACTTATTTCATGTTCACATTATATGTGTGAAAATATCCCCTGTAGGAATGATTTTTAGAGAGCAATAACCTTAGATGTGAAGGTCAAAGTTATATTTGATGTGCAAATTAACCCCAGCTGGAAAAGTTAATGCATGAAAATTGCAAAAAATAACAAACCATGTAAATATCTTCTTTTACGGTACTTTTTTATGTTTGCCTCAACCAAATGTTTATGCGACACTTTTTAACATTCTTGAGTTATGTCCCTTTATAAACATAAAAATTGCTGAATTTTTCGTTTCCATTCTCTAACTTTAGTTTGTCTCAACCAAATGTTATAAAACTTATACACAACCGTTCTAGAGTTATGCGTGTTTACAAATAGAAAAATTGCTGAATTTTTAGTTTCTGTTCTCTACTTAAGTTAGCCTCAACCAAATGTTATGAGACTTACACACAATGCTTATTACCACAAAACTCAGATCAAGTTCAAATTTGGGTAGCGTCAGTTTTACCGTTCTTCAGTTATGTCCCTTTATAACTATATGATATGCAAGAGGGGGCATCATCTCTGTCCACATGTGGACACTATCCACATTTATTTTGTGATTTAAAAAAGGCAACCTTATATAGAGTGCATGACTGACCTATCAACTATATAAATTCAGTTTTTATACGACCGCAAAAAAATTTTGTGGTCGTATATTGGTATGACGTTGGCGTCGTCGTCGTCGTAGTCGTCGTCTTCCGGCGTCGTCGTCCGAATACATATTGGTTTTCGCACTCTAACTTTAGTTTAAGTGAATGGATCTTTTTGAAATTTGACCATAAGGTTAAATACCACAAAAGGAAGGTTGGGATTGATTTTGGGGGTTATGGTACCAACAGTTAAGGAATTAGGGGCCAAAAAGGGGCCAAAAATTAGCATTTTCTAGTTTCCAGACAATAACTGTGGAACGGTGTATGGATCTCTCTGAAATTATACTACAAGTTTCCATACCACAAAGGGATGGTTAGGATTTGCTTTGGGGGGTTATGGCTCAAACCGTTTAGGAATTAGGGGCAAAAAAGGGGGAAAAACAAGGTTGTCCTGGTTAATGGACAAATACTTTAGTACAAAACATAATTTAAAGCAGTGTAAGGGAGATAAATCAAATACATCATTGAAATTATCTCCCTTACACTGCTTTTAAATTATGTATAAAGTAATGGTTAATGAACAATAAAGATAATCTAAAACAGTGTAAGGGAGGTAATCCAAATACAACGTTTTGGTTACTTCCCTTACACTGCTTTTAAATTATGTTTAAAGAAATGCATATTTATAAAGGAAGACCAGTAAAGATATCTGCAAATGTTTTCATCTTTTTTTTTTACAAAAAAATCCATATGAAAGATTTGACACTATATTTTTATTTTTAATTCTATTATAAAATAGATTAAGTTAGCACTATGGTAAATTTAAATGGGTAATTATGGTTGCCAACTCCATTGGAAATTTGAATTGAGATTATGACCATATCTTGAGGGAAAGAATTTTTTTGGGGGAAAAAGGGGGGGGGGGATAAAAAGAAATTGTGGGGGGCCAATTTTTTCTCATTTCAGATTTCAGAAATTAAAAAGAATTATTCTTCAAATATTTTTTTTTCAAATTTCAAATATTGAAAAATTTCAAGAAGTAATCTTTAATTGCACAGTATGGCGCATTAGATTTGTAAAATCTTTGATCACATTTATTTATTTGTTATGCCGAATCTAACAGTGTATTTAGATTTTTAATTTTGGGTCCAGTTTTCAAATTGGTCTACATTAATGTCCAAAGGGTCCAAAATTAAACTTTGTTTGATTTTAGCAAAAATTGAATATATGAGGTTCTTTGATATGCTGAATCTAAACATGTATTTAGATTTTTGATTTTTGGCCCAGTTTTCAAGTTGGTCCAAATTGGGGTCCAAAATTAAACTTTGTTTGATTTCAACAAAAATTGAATATATGGGGTTCTTTGATATGCTGAATCTAAACATGTATTTAGATTTTTGATTATGGGCCCAGTTTTCAAGTTGGTCCAAATTGGGGTCCAAAATTAAACTTTGTTTGATTTCAACAAAACTTGAATATATGGGGTTCTTTGATATGCTGAATCTAACCATGTATTTAGATTTTTTATTTGTGGACCCCGTTATCTAATTGGTTCATATTGAGGTCAAAAGGGTCCAAAATTAAACTTTGTTTGATTTCATCTAAAATTGAATTATTGGGGTTCTTTGATATTCCAAATCTAACCGTGTATTTAGGTTTTTAATTTTGGGTCCTGTTTTTTAAATTGGTCTACATTGAGGTCCAAAGGGTCCAAAATTAAACTTAGTTTGATTTTGACAAAAATTGAATTCTTGGGGTTCTTTGATTTGCTGAATCTAAACATGTGTTTAGATTTTTGATTATGGGCCCAGTTTTCAAGTTGGTCCAAGATAGGGTCCAGTATTTAAACTTTGTTTGATTTCAACAAAAATTGAATATATGGGGTTCTTTGATATGCTGAATCTAAACATGTATTTAGATTTTTGATTATGGGCTCAGTTTTCAAGTTGGTCCAAATTGGGGTCCAAAATTAAACTTTGTTTGATTTCAACAAAAATTGAATATATGAGGTTCTTTGATATGCTGAATCTAACCATGTATTTAGATTTTTTATTTGTAGGCCCCGCTATCAAATTGGTTCATATTGAGGTCAAAAGGGTCCAAAATTAAACTTTGTTTGATTTCATCGAAAATTGAATTATTTGGGTTCTTTGATATGCCAAATCTAACCGTATTTTTAATTTGGGTCCCGTTTTTTAAATTGGTCTTCATTGAGGTCCAAAGGGTCCAAAATTAAACTTAGTTTGATTTTAACAAAAATTGAATTCTTGGGGTTCTTTGATATGCTGAATCTAAACATGTGTTTAGATTTTTTATTATGGGCCCAGTTTTCAAGTTGGTCCAAGTTGGGGTCCAAAATTAAACTTTTTTTGATTTCAACAAAAATTGAATATATGGGGTTCTTTGATATGCTGAATCTAACCATGAATTTAGATTTTTTATTTGTGGGCCCCGCTATCAAATTGGTTCATATTGAGGTCAAAAGGGTCCAAAATTAAACTTTGTTTGATTTCATCAAAAATTGAATTATTGGGGTTCTTTGATATTCCAAATCTAACCGTGTATTTAGATTTTTAATTTTAAGTCCCGTTTTTTAAATTGGTCTACATTAAGGTCCAAAGGGTCCAAAATTAAACTTAGTTTGATTTTAGCAAAAATTGAATTCTTGGGGTTCTTTGATATGCTGAATCTAAACATGTGTTTAGATTTTTGATTATGGGCCCAGTTTTCAAGTTTGTCCAAGTTGGGGTCCAAAATTAAACTTTGTTTGATTTTAACAAAAATTGAATATATGGGGTTCTTTGATATGCTGAATCTAACCATGTATTTTGATTTTGGACATTGGACCATAATAGGTAAATTAAAAAAAATCAAGTTCTTAGACCACATTCTTTCTGTGTCAGAAACCTATGCTGTGTCAAATATTTAATAACAATCCAAATTCAGAGCTGTATCAAGCTTGAATGTTGTGTCCATACTTGCCCCAACTGTTCAGGGTTTGACCTCTGCGGTCGTATCAAGCTGCGCCCCAGCGAAGCATTTTATTAAATATGAAGAAAGGGGTAGTCCGGTTGTCTTTTACGTCAATGAGACACACAAAAAAACGACAAAAAATAAAAAAAGGGGCAACATTCATTCTTCAACAAAAGAATACATCACAAGAATATAAGTTTTGTAAGAAAAAGACCAAATTCGTGAGACGTTGTGTAGGACTTGAATAGCCAAGACAAACTGATAAATATCTGAATGAATGAATGAATCGATCTATGTAAAAAAAAAATCAAGGTAATAAACAAAAAAAATAAATAGATTTTTTAATTATCCGGAACTCTTCACAAACAAAACCTACATGTATGCATTGACTAAATAGTAGGCCACTCTTTTACAATGATTACAACGTAGAAGTACTTATTCTCGTAATCAATAAGATATTTTGTGAATTAACCCCATTAACTTAAAGTTTTTTTACAATGAATACACGTATTTTAGGATTATTTAATGATATCAGCTCTGAGCATTATTATTCTTTAAAATGAAACTGTTGTATGCGATGGTATAAAAAAATATGTAAAACAAATCTTTTAAAGTTTTGTGAAAAGAAAGTTTCATTTTATGTATCGAAATGTGTAATTTACAAGTGATCATTATTTAAATCCCCACTGGAAGGCCTCTGACAGACTGAGCGAGCGTAAAATCATTGTTATCGATAAGCCAATGACATCAGTATTATTACCAACAAAAGTTTTACGGTTGTCTACGCTGTTATGAAAACGATTCTATTTGATCTTTGTGACACTTAACGAATAAATACTACTGTACACGATCCTAATTTTTTGAACAGAAAAAAACTACAAAAAAATTCAAAAGAATTCTTAATGGCAATCATACATCTAATTTTTATATTGTAATAATCATATTTTATTCTTATTTCCAGAGAACTTCAATGTCAACTACAGTGCCAAGGTCTACAAACTCTACTCTCAGTAAAAGAGGTGGAACAGGTATATTGATAGGATATGTCTTTTCTTTGTAATTATCTATAGAGATGAGGAATTAAGGAGTTAAAGGGAATGAATGAGAATGCTGTTGTAATCAAAGATGTTAAAATATGCAGTAAACATGATAATATTATATCCTACTCAATATTGTCCCTGGTATCAGCCTTTGATCTGTATGGTAGGTTTGAACTGTTTAAGATAAATATAACTGTGGAAAAAATCGAAAAACTAAAACTTTTATTCATATAATAAATGATACATGAATGTTTCACAATACATCTTAGAAAAGTATTTATTTTCCATACCATTCCAATAATAACAAATTTTAAATTAACATGACGATTTTACATTTCTGCTTTACAGTTTTAACAAACAGTGCAATAAAGGCTATTGAAAGTTATAAAGATTCTGACCCTAATTATACAATACGACGTCAGATGGAGCATGAACATGGAGAAGCTAAACAAATTGATTGTCTGCGGCGGGTACATATCATTTCATATATTATGTTTAGTTTCAAATCAAACTCCTCAAAATACTAAAATAGTTTTGTACAACAGAAGTGTGTTTTGGTCTACACAAGATTCATCAGTGGATAATCTTTCCAAACACTTATCAATTATAAAATTGAAAAGCATTAAAGATTAAAATTTTCAAAAGTTTGAGCAAAATTTGGCTAAGGCTATCTATGTCTGGGGAAAGAAATGTGTTTTAAATGATTTTAAAGATTTTATGAACATTAAATTAACAGACAATAGCAGATATAATGATATTTCCTGCTGACTACTGGGCTGATAATACCCTTGGGGATCAAATGTCCACCAGCCTGTCACCTACATATTTGGGGTCCCAATCATATGCCTGTCATCTTCATATTTGGATCCAAATCATATCACTTGTAATGACATAAGTCAGGGAGTCCTTTAGTATATTCAAAAGTTTTTTAGTTACTTATCACAATTGGTAAATTTCCCCTAGATTTCCTGTAAAACTAATGGTATTGAAGGCAAGACAAATGTGTCGTATCCCAGCAGAAACATACCAAGTAATTATACAAAGCTCTCTATTGCTGAAGCTGGAACAGCTGGACAATTCGTTATTTGTATTATATGAAGAATTTGTATTGTCTTATGTATCCGATGATGTCAAACATACCAAATTGAAAGTTGGGTGACTCTATAAAAAAGCGTCATTTTTAATGTGAAAAGTTCACACAATATTTCCATTCAAAACTAAGAGGAAATCACATTTTTCATTTCTTTGAAACTGCTTTGCCAATGTAAATTAATCTTGGAAGGGTAAAAATGTATGATGTGTTCTCTATATGAATCTGCCCAAAGGATAACAAAGCCATCCAAATCTAAATTTATAATAAGTTATCTTTTCTTGATTGGGGGTTGGCAAATGACCTTTGATTTACATATATACTGATGTTAGGAACACTTATGGCTGTTCTCTTTTAAACCTTTTTCTCAATGAGTTCTGACATGATCCTTTATTTTTGTAGACCATAGAAAGCAGATTAAAAGTGACACTGCCTGATAACTTGCCAGAAACATTACGTGATGGAGTACTTTTATGTCAGTTGGCCAATAGTATACGACCTAGATCTGTAACCAGTATACATGTTCCATCACCTGCTGTGGTATGTTCAGCAACAGTTAGAAAGAAATAATAATGTCTTCAATTTAGAGGACGGTACAAGACAGAGACAACTTAAAAAAAAGACATAAGCCAAGCATACAATTAAAATAAAAACACAATTAGGTTTATGAAGCTAATTAAGGGAATGAATGGACTTTATCAAAGTACAAAAACTTGCCCTATTTATTATTATATATCCCCTTTTCACAGGAGGTGGGCTATACTGGTTTACCTCTGTTCGTCAAGCTGCCTGTCTGTGTGTCTGTCTGGCAATAACATATATCTATCACATTTTTCTCAGCAGCTACATGTGACACCATGTTTCATTTGTTTATGCCATGCATCCCTTTTCCACAGGAGGAGGGGTATACTGGGTTACCACTGTTCGTCAAGCTTCAAACTGCCTGTCTGTGTGTCTGTCTGGCAGTAACACATATTTGTCACATTTTTCTCAGCAGCTACAAGTAATAGCTTTTTGATATCATATGAAAACATGTTTCATTTGGTTATGCCATGCTGTATTACATGTTTTCGAATCCTTTGATGTTCTACTTCCTGTTATGGGATATGTAGATATGTGAAATTTTGTTCACATTTTTCTTAGCAGCTACAAGTCGTACCTTCTTAATATAAGAGGGGTTAATATTATGGAACAATAGCTCACAGTTCATTTTGTTTGGTATTACACCAAATGTTTCAATACAATACTGAATTAAAAAATAGTGATTTTAGACAAACTTCAGCTAATAATGCCTTTATGTTGAGAAAACACAAGTTAATAAAATTCATCAACATAATGAATGCTAATTTTTTGCAGCCAAAACTCACACTGGCAAAATGTCGGAAAAATGTTGAAAATTTCTTAGAAGCCTGTCGAAAACTAGGAGTTCATAGGGTAAGTATTGTGAGAGGACCATCATCACACTCTTATATTCATATTTATATTTATATAAAGTCAAATTTAAGAAAAAAAACATAGCATATTTATTTTATACTGTATTTTAGTTATACAACACAAGGATACATAGTGCATGTAGGACTGAATATGCACTTCTTTTGTATAGAACAGTGGCAGCTTGATTTTATCATAATATTTCCTTAATTTTATAGAATATTTTTTTGTTTTCTTATTCTTTTATGGTTTTAGTTTTTGTTGCAGAACTTATCTTATCAACAGCAGAAAAGATAGAAACAATCGTGAACATGGCTAATTGTCGCACAGTGTTAGGTTATCCAAAGCATGAATGTTTAGTATTTTATTTGATAATATCAATTATTCACAGCATGAATCATAATCAACCTTTGAAAATCATTAAACTAAATCTTAATCAATTTGGTTTTAAAGATCTTAATGCCATTTGGGACTCTTGACCGATGGACGTTGTACAACCTTTCTCTTGTGACATCAGAATTTTATGGGAATGACTATGATATCCTTTATAAATTGGGGACAATTATCAATAAAGTGTAGGATATTTGTGTACTTTTTTTGTATTTTCAAAGGTTGAAATTTAAAAGCATGCAGATATTCAAATGTCAAACCTTTCTTTTTTCTTTAAAATATGGAATTTAATGACAATAGAATACTTCTATGAGAATTAAATTGGGTTCAAGTTAACTACTAATTGAAAGGTGTGACTGTTTATTGCTTCAGCATGCTTGTGGTTACAGGGAAACATGTAGCTAAAATAATCCTAGCTTAAACATCACAGAATATATGGGACTGTACACTGTATAGAGCACATCACATATACTAAACTGAATGATTTAATATAATTCATAGTGGCTAATATAATATATTCTAAATTCTAAATTAAAAAGATTATTCCTCTTGTTTTTGGTAAAATAATTCAATAATCTGGTTTTTTTTTTCCATTTTTATTCTCATTCTTTTATAATGCAAACAAATAAATGAAATGAAAACTACTTTGTAAAACATTGATTTATTATAGAAATGTACCTTGTTAGGTGCACTGTTGTGATGGAGATGATCAAATTTTAACAGTAAAAAAAAAAACATTAACAAAAACTGATTTAAAATGACTGATAAGGTTTGTGTTCAGTAACCTCTTCCCCACACTTGTAGAGCTTTATATGCACGGTTTACTAACACAATATCCCTCTATTGCAGGACAACCTCTGTGCATGTGAGGATATTGTGGAGAATTTACGACCAGGTCGGGTCGCCTTAACTGTGCAACAATTAGCCATGTGTCGCAGAATAACAACAACAGATTATTATATCTCCTATTTCTGTATCTTTATATTTTGTACTGCCTTTGCCCTTTTATGTCTTTATAGAGTTTGAAAACTGAACAAATTGTCATGTATATCCATTTTTGTTTTTAAAAAAAATTCAAGGAATATGCTATACTGTGAACCATGATTTTTTTTATGAAGGACCTGTTTAAATGCATTTATCAGAATTGATATTTAATCTTTTGCTAATTGAAATAGGATAACTTGAAATTCTTGTAGGTATGATAATTTATGTTAAGCATTTGTGAAAAAGATCTGCAGAGAATATTAACATGTTTTGAAATATTTTGATATTATTAATGACATTGTCTGATGCAAGACAAATCCTGATGATTTTTTTGGGATACATTTTTCTATTAGAATTTTTCCCATGAAAGCATAATTTCATTTTGGTTTCATTAACCTTGTTCCCCCAAAAAGACTTTACAGCATGTAGATAAAAACAAAATGCACTTTCTGTGCGAGTATCTGTTTTGGTGAGGGTTCTCTTTATTATATCAGTGCAGCAGTGCAGATTTTGTGTTTTTCAGGCATCATACTGAATTTTATGACTATGACCCATAATTTAAAATGTTACACATAAATAGCAGAGTTTTATTGAAGAACATATGTTCAACATATAATTCTGCAAATTAGATATACTAACAAATTCATTTGATTTTAAGTGCCAGGTTCAGTTTACACAATAAACCACAAGCCCGTTGGGCCAGTAAGATTTTCCAAAAAAGAGGTCTCACTAGCCATGTAAGTTTGAAGACATTTTATGAAAGATTGATTTCCAGGCTTGTAAATAGATATAAGAAGATGTGGTTTGAGTGCCAATGAGACAACTCTCCATCCAAGTCACAATTTGCAAAAGTAAACCATTATATGTCAAAGTACGGCCTTCAACACGGAGCCTTGGCTCACACCAAACAGTAAGCTATAAAGGGCCCCAAAAATGACTAGTGTAAAACCATTTAAACAGGAAAACCAACGGTCTAATCTATATAAAAAATGAGAAACAAGAAACACTTATGAACCACATCAACAAACAACAACCACTGAACATCAGGTTCCTGACTTAAAACAGGTTGTAAGTCAAAAAGTTTTTCCATGCTTTTTGTTCTCCTTTTACTCCTCCCTCCACTAGGCTCCTCTCCTTCTGCATTTTATTTTTTACAAAAATATGTCCTATTCTTGGTAAAATGTCCAGTAGACTACAAAATGCCATAAAATAAATATAACACTATGAATTTGGTTCAGCCATAAATTATATCTTGAACATGAACAAGTACAATAAAATGGGTTTTCCATAAATATAACTCCAGTACCTTACATGGTATTAGAACCAAACTTGGATATATGGTAACATAAAAGGTTAGGTAGATTCCTTTTGATTTTAAGCTCAATACTTCCAAGGTCAAGATCACAGTTACTAAAAATGGAGTGAATTTGTGAACCATAGGGACATTATGATAAAGTGACAGAAGATATCTATCTTATATAGCATTGAAATAAAAAGAATTAACATACAAACAACAACATTACATGAATGGACTAAATCCTTACCGTACTTACCCTCTGCTGGGGAGGAAAACGTTTTTATTATACCAATAAGCTATTGCTTGCTACAGTAAAGTTTGTGATGTTGGTTTTTGTCAGCTTGCTCACTAAGGTTCTTTAAATTATAATTGAAAGTTGTTGTATTACGGTTTTGAATATAGCTTTAGATACTAATACATTTTAATTTTTAGAGATACCATTGTGCAGAAACTCTTTTATTCAAAATTACTTTAAATGCAGACAAATGGTGTAAAATATTACCGGTAGTGATCAATCTGAACAAAATTGATTGATGATAAAATTATGTTTTTTTATAAAAATGTTTATAGTTAATGAATGACTTGTAATTCCAAGAACATTTAATGAATATTGAGTATTCCCCCAAGATTATATGATATTAATGGGCAGATAAAAATGTATGGTTTGGACAGTATTCAGACTTTATACAGTATCTATTGTATCAAAAGCTTGTTAGTATTAGAAACTAAAGTAATAAACATTAGATAGCTTCAGTTGTTTACAGGCAGATACCTTTTTATAATTAATTTGTTGACATTGATATGCAAGGTGATTTCATATTTGTTATAATTTATTATAGAAGTTTAGATATGTTTTATACATTAATCTGCTGATATTTCATTATGTATGTTTCATCCTATATAGCATAGATTAAATTTGGTATGCAAGGAAACAGTAGCAATAATTGGAGCCAGTATTTTACTCTTGTCTATCATCTGTTTTAAATCAAATATGTTTCTTTTCAGTGACTTCAGTCAGATTTAACAGAATCATGTGAAATTTCAAAATGTTGTTAGGGACCACTATCAAAACATGTGTTATAAATTCAAACCTAACTTTTTTTCAAAATTTATCTATACAGAGATAAGGAGAAGATAACCAGATGTTTGTTTTCTTCTTATTAGGTTTCAATAAAATCATTTGCTATTTTCACGATGCTAAGAAACTACTAAATACAGATTGAGTTGGAATTTGACACATTTAAGAATTGTTTTTCCCAGAGTCCAACAATTATCTGCAAAGTAAATAAAATTGATTTTGTGGTACATGACCTTCCATGTGCTCATTATTTCCCAATCACAGGTATGGGTAAGGCCTCTGTGTTTAAAGATGCATTCTTCTTTCATTTCATGATTTTCTTGTGTTAAGTAATAGTTTGAGATGCATTCCAGTCCAATCTATATAAAGTGCAGGGCAGGTTAACTATTTTGTTTTATGTAGAACTTATAAATTGTAGTATGCATCATCATGTCAGACTATAAGGGGCAAGCTTTATCTTTCAATCAGATTCACATTCTGTAATGGTAGGATAGCTATCAGTCATTGATTTAATGTTTATATTGTTGGCATCCCTCAGATATTTGTTAGATCCTCCCAGTGTTTTTATTTAAAGCTTAGAATCTCCTTATAAAGATCAGTCTTATGAACGAGAGGTTATATCTTCCACTTCATGACAGAATTATTTTCGACACTGATATTAATGTCCTCTTTAATAAATAAAGTTACTCCTATTACAACCTTGAGTTAGATTCCCTGAAAATGAAAGTTGGAAACCTTTTTGTTTTCAGGAGATAGCAAGATAGTAACAATTGATAATTTTATTTTCATTCTACTTATTTTTAAGTTAGTGTAGGGCTGATGTATACCTGAGCTAGCTCTCTAAAGCTTATTACTTTTGAGATTTGGGAAGTTTACACTATGTTCTTCAGGATTAAAAAATCCAGTAAATTAGGCTTATCAACTTACTGTATTTTATGTAGGTATGATTGGAATGCATCTTTTTAAAACTATGTTTCTTTTAAAGTGCTCCATGGAGAAGTGTTGTAAAATTGATAACTGTACCACCTCATTAATGATGCTTTAATGTAAAAGTCTTTCATTTAATATTTATTATTTAATTTTCCTGTGATAATTGTGTACATGAGAAATTTAGTAGGGGTTATTTCCCATAGATTGGTCACAAAAAATTATGTATATTTATTGTATAATATAAGCTACGTGTAATAACTGTGATATATTGCTGATTTATGTTGTTATTATCTTGTTGATGTTGTTAAAAATTAAAGATTTCTTGTTCCATGAAAGCTAATTTATATCTCATATGAAAATAGTAAGCAAAAATATATATATATATATATATATGTTGGAAGAGCTCGCATTGAGTGATATGTTTCAATAACAAATAACTCAGCAGCTCCATGACTGTCAACTGGTGTAAACATTTTTGCTAGAACATTTACAAAAGGATTCAGTAGATTTAAAAAAGAATTGTATTATAAAGGCACTTAGTTGTTATGACAGATCATTGATTGTGTCTGTCAAAGTAATTTACAGCTTTCTAGATGCATTTGTATGGGCACTTGTCTATTTTTGAAGACTATATTTTGACCTTTAGATATGTTCTGAATCTTTTTTGTATCCTTAGGTTGCCCTTTCTTTGATATATCTCACATCTTTTTACATTTATAGGTTAGATTTATTTGTTATAGAAACAATTTAGGACATTGAGCCAGTAACAATCTATCAGTTAGAATTTATAAGTCTGTTAAACGTTTCTTTCTTCTTTGTTTCTTGAGTGTATGTTTTTACCAATGGTAGAATTCCCTATCAATGGATCTTTGGTGTTTTTGTGTATGATTTTACCAATGGTAGAATTCCATATCAATGGATCTTTGGTGTTTTTGTGTATGTTTTTACCAATGGTAGAATTCCCTATCAATGGATCTTTGGTGTTTTTGTGTATGTTTTTACCAATGGTAGAATTCCCTATCAATGGATCTTTGGTGTTTTTGTGTATGATTTTACCAATGGTAGAATTCCCTATCAATGGATCTTTGGTGTTTTTGTGTATGTTTTTACCAATGGTAGAATTCCCTATCAATGGATCTTTGGTGTTTTTGTGTATGTTTTTACCAATGGTAGAATTCCCTATCAATGGATCTTTGGTGTTTTTGTGTATGATTTTACCAATGGTAGAATTCCCTATCAATAGATCTTTGGTGTTTTTGTGTATGATTTTACCAATGGTAGAATTCCCTATCAATGGATCTTTGGTGTTTTTGTGACAGTGCATGTGAAGCAGTTGACCCAACTTAAATTCTCATATGCTCTGTTTGTTTTCCAATGTCCATTTTTGCATCATTTGTTGTCACAGGGTGTATTAATGTAAGGTGTAATGAATTTGAAATTTGAGAACAGAGAAATCTTCACAATATTGTAGTGTAAACAACAACTGACGATTGAAGCAAGAGTTTTACTAGTCTGCTGCTGAAACCACAAGTTTGTTTATTTTGAACCTAATTGTATCAGGGATGACTTTGTGGCACAAACAAGAGTTTCATTACCTGCTACCTATTTTCATCAGTATACTTTCAATTTAAATTAATTTCCATGCACTGTGTTTTAATTCCTCAAACTATAATATTTGGTATTTTATTTATGCATATTACTTAGGTAATCTGTTTATATTCCTGAACTGTCAAATTAGTTAATTATCTCAATAATTGATATAAGTAGTCCAGCATAAACAAGCCCTCATGACTCCATGATCTCAGAGAAAAAATGAAGAAAAATTGTGTCCAAGGAAAATTGAGGATTTTAGACAAGAAAGCTTCTTTCTGTGCCAATGAAGCGGTTGTATTGAAATATAGCCAACAGTTAAGGAAGTGATTTATCTGTGGCAGATTCAAGATTTTCAAAAGGTTTGGGAGAGAAAGGGGAGTTACTGCTTTTGGTACTTAGACAATAGATAATGTGGTATATATTTTTTAGATTAATTTCTTATTGGAGAATTCTCAAATATGTCACAGCTTCAACCAATCTCATAATTTGCCTTCTGACAGTTGAGGAATCTCTGGACTAGAGAGTTGAAAAAATGCTCTGAAATTAGATAATGAAGTGTTTGTGTATTTCAGGAACAAATATGTGGTGCTCAAGATATCTTAGAAGAAAAGGGTGTTACAAGGCTTGCTGTGACTACATCTGCTCTTATTGCTGTCTCAACTAATCCCAGGTCTTCAGCTGTATGAAACTACTAAAACATAATGTTACCAAAGACTTGAGAGCTAGTAGCATGTGACTACAGATCCTGCTGTTTGACAAAGGACAATTGTCTGGATCATGCCACTTAACAGACCAACTACAACTAATGCTTTTTTAGACTTCAGTAACTATAACAGGGTGATACCTATAGTCCTATACTATTAATGAAGGGTTCAGAAAACATATCTGTTGTAGAATTTGTAAATTATTGTTCTCCTTATAACTGAATTATTAGTTTTATTGTGACTAGAAAGTGTGGTGAACTACTTATCAATAAAAAGGAGTAATGTTATAATGAATAAAAAATTAAAATTAAATTATAAAAAAGATGTAATATTGTATCATGATATCTTTAGAAACTGTGATCACTAGAAATCATCAGTAACAAGGCTTGAAAAATCAGGCACAACATGCAATTATTCATTAAATGAAAATTTTTCATTGTAATCTTTTTCTGTTCTTAGTACATAATTGACATCTCTGAAATATGTTTTTTAAATTGAGACCATGAAAATATTTTCCATTGTAATATTTTTCAAATTGTTAGAAAAGTAGTCTATTGTGTATGATTTTTAAGATGCAAGAATACTTACTATATCCATTTTGTAAATTTCTTATGTCTGCTTTGGATTGTCATGATTTCTATCAAGTTCCTGAATATTTTCAAGCCTTGTAATAATTCAGTTGTTAATAATAAATCATTATTAAACCATATCATTTTTATATCTTGTACAATATATATAATATCAAATATACTAGAATAGGCTAGGGCTAATTAAGAAAATAGTGCAAGGATTTTAAAGCACGTCTGTCATGAAATGAATTATAATCTAGTAAGTAAGAATATTTACTTGCATATATTCTTATTGGTCTGCTATAAGCTTAAAACTGCTATTCAGAATTTATATCCGCATCATTCTCGTTACTAAGCAGGAATTGTTATAATTATATGTCAATTTGCATTATGTGTTAACCTGTTCATGACAAAAATATCATTTGTTGCTAATCTGTATGAACATTTTTTTTTCTTCAAATCTCCAGTAAGTACTTTTGATATCATGTTATGTAAATTAATGTTTCATTTACATATACTGATTGGCTTAAAATGGAAGCCTTCTTTGATGAGAAAAATTATTCCAAGAAACTTCTGGTCTTTCATGTCTTTGTGTCGCTGTCTCATTGATATCTCCTTTTTACTTACGATTAAATACGAGAACCAGTAGATATATACAATCATTCACCAATCATATATATATATAGTAAACTTTGTGGATAGAATCAGCAGTATCATCAGCATTAAAGCAAATCATGCAAGTAATTTATTTGATTGATTTATACCTTGATTTAATGCTCAGATGTCTTGATCATGTTGGTTTAAGTTTGTTCCTTTCCCAGATAATATAAATAGAGATGTACTATCACCTACAGTTCTGTTGGGAATCAGATGTAGACATTTTACATTTTTTTTTTTCCTTTATTAGAAGTATACGTCATTTATATTACAGACATTTTAAAATAAACCTTTTTTTAGCTTTTCCTTCTTGCACCAAAATTACTTGGATGTTAGACTGTTTTTGTTTTTATTAAATTTATGAATTGAATGAAATTCCAACAATCTTTTTTATCATTTAATTGTTATGTTACCAAAAATATTGCCAAAATATGAGGGTGTTATTTTGTATTGATTTTTGCATTATGGAGTAATTTAAAGGTGTTAAATATACAATGCAATTGACAGGCCTGATTACTGAACATGGTTGAAGTTGAATGTTACTTGCAGTAACAAAGGACAGAATCTACTCATGGATGCTGATCCAATGATGTAATTTGAAACTCTGACGTTTTTTTTCTGTCTTTGAACATGTAAAATTAGGTAAAGGAATTTTGTTATAAAATGTACAAGACATAATTTGAATGATAGACTACATTTCTACTCTTATAATGACTTGCCACAGAGCTATGATTATTTTTTCTCTCCATTTTGATAGTTTACTATTTTGTAGTTTACAAATATCCCAGTTTAAACTAGTAAATGACACAGAGTCTCCTGTGATTTCTGAATGTTAAACTGGTGAGAAAAAGAATGACAAGCCTCATCAGAAACCTTTTCTTATTCTCTTTCCTGTATTAGATTCTTAATCCCTGTTTTAACATAGGCAACACAATTCAATATAAATTACTTGAAAAATCAAGGCAAATACCATAATCTCAGCAATTCCAGAATTGTATATGTGAATCTTTTCCTACGCCAGAAGTTTCTGGTTAAATAATCAAAACTGGTACAGATCAATTTCGGGATAAAAATTTTCGTGGTAAGAAAAGGTTAATACAGATACGATTTAGATAGAGGTCGAATTAAATTGGAAAGTTGCTCAAAATAAGAGATGAATTTTAGATTATACATATAAATGATTGTTAATTACTTACTATAACAGAAAATTGGTATTGTGTTTTTTTGTAGCTTTTTGCTAGAAATTGCACTTTTTGCACAGGGTCTTGATCCAATCCAATTATCCACCCACACCTCCCATCTATCAATGCCATTTTGCTGCTGGTGCAATTTCATTTCAGTACTACTTTTAAGTTGCATAGGCTTGGATATATTTTTTTTAAAAGGGAAATTACTTGTTCAAATGTTCATAGATTTTGAAAAAGTGTATGTTAAATTGCATTGATAGAAAAAAACATCATTTCTTTTCCATCATATCAAATACAATTCATATAATACTGTAAATTCAGAAACTATTGTGAGGTTTTTATTAATGCGAAAAATGAGACTACTTATGTATCGTAATAATAAGAAGTCGCATTCTGGTATCTGATACATATATCTGTATGAACAGTAGCTTTGCCGAAAATTGCAATAATTAAACTCGCATTTTTGTTCATTCTTCAAAAATCACAATAATAAATGCACACAATAGTTTCTGAATTTACAGTATGTAGAAAAACTGCAATTTGGGGTTTGATTTTGTTATTTTGTTCATTTTATTGTTTAGTCTGTGACAAATGTCATAGAATGCAAGACATAGGGATACTTATCCAGTGACGGCATAAACTATTTGTAGTAAGCTTAATATGTCAGAAGGTAGTAGAATTGGATTATCAATATGTTTTATACAGATGCCTTATGGTTTGAAATGTTCCTTGTCCTTGACCTCATTTTCATGATTCAGTGAGTGCTTAAAATTCTATATAGCTTTTCTATCACTTGATTTTTATGCCCCAGCCATAGCGGAGGGGGCATTAAGTTTTACCCTTGTCCGTCTGTACGTACGTACGTCCCAAAATTGGTTTCCGTTCTCTTAACTTGAGTTTGCCTCAACCAAATGTTATGATACTTATACACAATGCTTATTACCACAAAACACAGGTCAAGTTTGAATTTTGGTGGGGTCACTTTAACCATTCTCGAGTTATGCCCCTTTATAAATGGAAAAATTACAAAATTTTAGTTTCCGTTCTGTAACTTAAGTTTGCCGCAACCAAGCAGTATGAAACCTCTACAAAATACATATTACCACAAAACTCAGATCAAGTACAAATTTGGGTAGCGTCACTTTTATCGTTCTTGAGTTATGTCCCTTTATAATGTTGTATGCAAGCGGGGGCATTATCTATGTCCATGGGGACACATTCTCCATTTATTTATTTATTATGGCTAAAAGTACAACTTTATTTGGAATATAGCATCAATGCAACTCCTGCATGTCCATCATATAGAGTTAAACTGACCTGGACCCAATTTTCGTGGTTCAGTGATCGAGGTTTAGCATTTGTGATCAGGTCTGTTTGTTCCATAATATTGAGTAATAATTCAAGTATATTCCACATATTTAATGATTGCAAGGTTTACATGTCACTCTGACAGGATTCATTTGACCTTGACCTCATTTTTATGGATCATTGATATGAAATTAATGTGAGACCTGTAGTATGACCTTTATCTAAAGATTTTCTACATAAAATTCAATCATAATCAGTAGGCAGGCGGGACATTTTAGTGTCTGCACTCTTTTGTTTATGTTGGGAGGGTTGATAAATTGTTACTTTTTTCCTTTTTTTACTAGCAATGTCTCCTGCTGTGCACTTTTATTTTTATTTTTTTTTTAATATATTATGTCTGCTTCTTTGTTGATCTTCCTAATTAACTGTGATATATAATTCAGACAAAACCATTCAGTGTCATATAGCTTTTTATTCATGTAGACTCATATGTGTTAAGACATATAAAAGTGTACATATATGTATAAATTATTTGTTTTTAAGTATGCTTTATTTAGAAAAAATATAAAACATATAAATGCCTTTTGCACATAAAAACTTGTGTCATTTCTTATCTTTTCATGCCGACTTTCATTTTAATCTGTTACCCTTTACCCTTTAACAGGTAGATTTTTTGCTTAGGAAGTAAATTTTGAAAGAAGTCAGCCCAGGTGATGCTAAAGGATGTTAAAAGGAGTCTCAAGGAAATGTCTACACAGTGTTAATTACACTTCTTCTAAAGCTGTATTCAGTATATAAAATTGTTTGTGGAGTACATTGAAACACCAAGTTTTTTTTCTGTGCCAAGATGAAGATTGCCTTAGCCAGTTTTGGCACAACTTTTTAGCTGTTTTGCGACTATAATATGAATTCCTTCAAGACATCTACACTTTGGTTTCTAGACTTATCTTTTGGACCTTAAACAGTTACTGTATTATTATCAAACTTGCCCTAAGAAACCCTATTAAAGTGCAGGTCAACGCTTAAAGTAGATATTAATAGACTGAAATGGGAGCACAAGTCTAGCCTTTCCAAAACTTTGTTTGATAAAGCTTCATGAGAAAAAAAGGATCCCTATTAATTTTAAAGTCAAAAGGTCTTTTACACAGCAGAAATTGGTAAAATGAAAGTGATCCTAAATTTGGCTACCCAGATGATATCTTTTGTTGAACCATATGTCCAACCTTCTACAAACATATACTGAAAATGCTATTTTATAATTTTAAATAGTGTTTTTTGGGTCAGGTTATGGTCACATATAATGCATAAAAGGGATAACTGGAGTTTAAAACAAATAGTGAAACAGACCTCACTAACCACCAATAACCTACTGCTCTGTAAAATAAAACTAACTTAGAAACAAGGACAAAAAAACAATGAATAACACATTTCTAGATGGCATGAACTTGTACGGGTACACAATATGTTGGAGTTTGTGATTAGGTCAGTTTATGGGGAACCACTAGTGGTAAGTCGATGATATTTGGTATGCAAATTTATTGGAGGATATACAATACAATGCAATACAATATTTTTATTGTCAATCAAGGACGCCCTAAGAGAGCAGTATAATTACAAATAATTTATTACAATGATTATTATTAATTCTTAATGATATATAGCCCCACCCCCTCATCATGGTTCATTGACTTTGAAAATTTTACATAGTTTACAAGTCAATGTTTGTGTTTAGGTTTGTTGAAAGGAATGGACTTATGATAAGTCTATGGTATTTGGTATGCAGTTGTATTAGCATTGGCACATCTCATTTCCATGGAGATTGTTTTGCCATGTACCTTCAGTCATGGTTCATTGACTTTGAATATTTGCATAACTTACATGGTAAAGTATTGCTATTTTAATTTCAACATTTGCATTATCAAAATAACAAATAGGCGAGACATATCTCTGTGTTAACAGTTTATTAGGTGAATTATCTATTTCCACTTACTTTTCCTTACTTTATGTGTTTTTACTCTTATCCATACAATTTTACAATAACTGCAATTCGTATGTGCTACCATATACTCTTATTTTTCAAAACTCTACAAAGATATGGATGGATTAAGCCACAGCAGTTGGGGATGATGGACCTACTCTTCGTTTTTGAGCGATAGGGTTTAAGTAACATTTCCAATATTTAAACTAATTTTTCCGTAATTTATGCATACAATATTAGAGTAACTTTAGTCTACTAGTTCAAATATTAAGGCCACAGTAGCAATTATTAGACAACATTTTCGTTTCCGGGCATCTTTTGAACAAAATGTCAAATCGTCTACAAATATAGCTTGCAAATACCCCTTGAAAAGAACATGACCCATATTGGTTTTGAGATCAGTAGGACGAAGGTCAATGTTGCAGTCCCTACATAAAGACTGAAACTTTGGGGAAAGATTCGTCTCCAGGCAATATCATTTGAGTCATAAATCAGTTCTTCACCATTCTTTGGTGGAAGTACGTTTTGCCGGTCACTTTGTCAGCAGCAATTTAATGACTGCTCAAAATTTTGGTTTGCATCATTTGAAAAAGTTGTCAGCCGATTTTGAGACATAAGAGACATAAAGCTTTATTTAGAGTCGGTATGTGCAAATACAAGTATAAAACATAAGCCCTGAAGAGCTTTTAAAACCGACAGAGCAACAAATAAAACAAAACATACATATCAAGTCATGCACACATAAATTAAACATTTAAAGCAAGAGTTCATATAATGCTGAGTTCACACGTAATTCGAATTCGATTCGCATTAACTAATTCGAATTAGTTTAATTCGCATTCGAAACGTTTTACGTCCTAACGTCAATTCTAATTCGAATTGCAATGCGCGTCAAATTCACTTTACTGTCCTAACGACGTTAACTTTTAATTCGTATTAACAAAAACGTATTTCTTATGCGAATTGGATAATTCGAATTAGCCAATTCGAATCAATTCGAATTAAAAAAGAAGAGTGTGTGAATGCGATTAGCGAATTCGATTCGCATTCGATTCGAATTCAATTCGAATTAAATGTACGTGTGAACGAGGCATCAGTATATAAACATGCAGCACAAAAGTTCTTAAAAGCATCTTACAAGTTAAGCACACACTGAAACATGCACTTGTGAGATAAAAGCACAAAAGCAAAAATAAAATGGTTTGCACATTAAAAGCATATATAGATTAGTTAAGTTACTAAAACTAGCACAAAGCAGCAGAAGCACTATAGTAAAGAAAATAAAATAAAATTGCCATGCTGAAAATAAAGCATTAAACCAAAATAATGAACAGAAATTAACTGGTTTTGCAGGCAAAACATTGGCATGAGCTGCCAGACCAAGAATTTATCAAGTTCTTGAATTGATTTAAAGATGATTGCTTACGTAGCACATCTGGCAGCTCATTCCAAAGCTTAGCACCTGCATACCTTAAAGATTGTAGGCCGTATGCAGTTGTTCTTACATGTGGTAGGTCGGCTGTATTCTGGTATCTGAAAGAGTAAGTGTTTTCCTTTAAGTGTATTAAATCATGGAGATAAACAGGACAGTCTTTATTAATAATTTTGAAAACTTCAATAGCCAATGATCGCATTCTTCTTATTTTTAAAGATGGTAATTTTGATTTGCAGAGTAGATCTTCATAACTTGCTGAATAGTCTTCATATATAAACCTTAGTGCTCTCTCTTGAATTTTCTCTATCTTTTTTGTATTAACCTTCCCACAAAAGTGCCAAACTAGTGAGCAGTAATTAAAGTTGGACATTATGAAAGAATAATATATTGTTAATTTTCCGAGTTCAGTCAGGTGTTTTCCTATTCTTTTTAATACATTTAACTGTGTGGATGCTTTTTTACATATTATAGAGACATGTTCATTGAAATTTAGTTTAAAATCTTTTGTTACGCCTAGAAGTTTAACGTTATCTTCACATTCTATTTCATTACCTTCTAATTTAAATTTTAGGTTTTTGTCTTTAGTTTTTTTACCTACAGCTATTGCTTGAAATTTTTCTGGATTTGCTTTCATTTTATTTATTGAGAACCAATTTATCAAAATTTTGCTTTCATCTTCTAGAGTATTAATTAATTTATCTAAATCTTTATCTGCGTATGAAAGGGTGTTGTCATCTGCATAATTATAGAGTTCACGTTTATGAATAAAAAAGAAAATGTCATTTAAAAAGATATTAAATAATGTTGGCCCTAATATCGACCCTTGTGGCACCCCTTTAAACATTGTTTGCCAGTAGCTTGAATTAGTACCTACTTTAACACACTGTTTTCTATTAGTTAAATAGCTTTCCAAAGTTTAGTCTTACATCACACACAAAAAATTGATACCCGACACAAAACCTGTTCTGCTACTACTAATTTATAAAGATCGCAATGCTTTTTATGCACAACGTTCTGGCATATTATTTTATTTTAAAAGCATTGTCTTTAATGACCTTTTACCGCTCTGGCAATTCTTCCCCACGTTTTGATCTATTTGTTAAGTTTATCTATCTTTCAGTATTTTACTGTTGATACCCAAAATTGTCATTTTGTCTTGCCCGCGAATTCTGTCGCAGAAAGCGAGACATGGGGTGGTGATCCGGCGAAGGCGGCGTTAGATAATTACTAAAAAGCTTAATATTTAAGAAGGTAGAAGGCCTGGATGCTTCATACTTTGTATATAGATGCGTTATGATATGAAGTTTCCGTCTATTATATGTCCATTGTCCTTGACCTCATTTTCATGGTTCAGTAACTACTTGAAAAAAAGTTGATTTTGTAATGTTAATTTTTCTCTTATGAGAAATAGGATAACTATATTTGGTATGTGCGTACCTTGCAGGGTCCTCCTGCCTGTCAGACAGTTTTCACTTTACCTCACCTCATTTCATGGATTAGTGAACAAGGTTAAGTTTTCGTGGTCAACTCCATATCAGTCGGATACTATAAGCAATAGGTCTACTATATTTGATGTATGGAATGAGTGTAAGGTGTACATGTCCAACTGAAAAGGTATCATCTGACCTAGACCTTATTTTCATGCTTCATTGGTCAAGGTTACCTGTAGTAAAACCTTATTTTTAAGACTTTCAATATAACACCAATGGTCCTTTAAGCAGGCGAGACATTTCAGTGTGTGCACTCTTGTTCATATTGTTTGTGTTCAAAATGTTGAATTGTCTTTACGTTTGATATGATTGCTTTTGTTGTCCTTATGTTAACCGTAGGGAATAATTAATTTTACATGTGAACTGTTTGTTGTTAGCACGTCGATTATATGTACCTATCCTAGACCTAATATAGTATGGTGGTCGGTATCGGTATTTTTTCAGTCCAGTTTCATCTTCAAAACTGATATCTTTGTTTTCAGTACACAACCGACTGAAATATCATTGCTGAATTAACAAAGGATAGCAAGTTTTAGCCCACAAAAATATTTGAGTGTACCTGCCTTATATTATAATGTTCTTGAATGGTGTCCATATACATAACATTTTTCAATATTAATATTATCAGTCATTTCATTTATCTCTTCGCTCCTGCTAATGGATCAAGTTAATGTGCAATTTTCCTTATTTTACTACTGGCCTGAATGCTCTTAAATGCGTATTCGGTACACTTATAATATATTTATTGTTGTTCAGATTGTCAGAAGCTAGCACCGCTTTGTCGTCAATTTCATTTTCTTTAATGTCACATTGACACAATTTGCAGGCCATCATCTTTTTGTACCATTTTTCCCTCTGTGTCACTTAATTTGTGGTAAATACATCTATACTGAATCCAATAGTTTTGTATGTGGAACAGAATGTTAAGGTGGGGCGCGCAATGTTTGCATCCATAAACGCAACACAGAGGAGTACGTCGGAAATTTTTTTTCTGCAGTTATTCTGAACTTGAAACATAATGTCATATCAATTATTTGTTTCCCCATCATTATATTTCTGGAACGTTTTGCCTTTTTTAGTACTTAATACTGTTTCTAGCTGTGCTTTTTTTCATCCTTTCAGTTTATCATCATACATAAGTGGCATCCATTATGCATTTGTGAGTATTGCTATCTCTGTTACAAACCTTATTGACTTTTCTATCTATTGATAGTTTAAAATTTTATTGATCTCTGTTCTTTAAATTGAAAGCTGTATATTTTTTTTTTTAATTATCAGTTACTTTTTTAGTATATAATATATATAATTACCACGTCAGATGGAAATGCTCCCTCCATAACAAATTTGATCCCTGAAAAATCAATTCGATCTTGGCTGCGTCTGCTACCATGACAACCCCCCCCCCCCCCCCCCCCCCCCTTCCCTCCCAAATTTGCATGTTTATGTTTACATTAATCCTTCTTTTTTGTGGCTCAAGATTTTGTTTCATGGCTTTATCATTATTTTGTTGGTAGTCATTGATAATTTTTCTGTTCGCTTGGTATGTTTTGAGAGGCACTGGTCAGCATCCATTGCGTTTCAACTGATTGAACAAAATTAACCAACATTTGATGCTTATAGATTTGGTGGATGGAGCTGACCGTCGCGGTAGTTTCTGCTGTCACTGATTTCCACATTCTCAACAGTATAGGTTGCTGTAACTCAAAAGGGGGCATACAGCTAATCTATAAATTAACATGTTTCTCTCGACTTACAAAGATACCATGATAGTTCTAGATGATGGTGTATGTAGTGGACTATTATAATGTCCACTTGGGCCCATATCCAAGTGAAGATGAAAATAACACTTTATATAAATTTCGTGTGTCCGGAGCGCTTTTCTTGACCTTCATCAGGAACGCTCAAACCCATACATTGGAATACCATGGACATATTGATGTGTATAAACATTAGGAGCCAAATGACCAATATATAGGACATAACAAAAATAGTTAAATTCATCTAAGGTCAACATTGTCTGAGGAGTTGGAAAATTGGTTTCCTAGTAATTTCCTAATTTAAAAACGGAGGAATTTTAAGAAAATAAGTTATAAATCATGTCAGTACCGAAGCACTAATTCTTTAGCTGATGATACCCGAGGGAACTAACAGTCAACTGTACGAGTTATTATGCTGTCAAACGATTTTTAAACAAACCAAATTTGTATACTTCTTGCAGAAAAACTAATAGTTTGCCGGTCCTACGTAGTCTATTATTTTCTCTTTATGCTTAATGCTAGGTTGAACATAATATGTGGACTCAAAATAAATATTGTAAAAACTAGCCTTATAAAAGAGAGATGTTCTTGATGTACTGACCTTAAAACATACTTATTTATAGAACACCGAAATTTATGCTTTTAAGCTATTTTCTTTCTCATCAACAATCTGTATATTTAGAGTTTTTTCTTCAATCCTCAAATACTTTTCAATGCATGGTTTCAGTTCTATAAGATTAATGTTGAGGGCACGGTTCTTCTAATTTGCACAACATTTATTACTAATGTGAAATTGACGGGATTCAATTTTATACGTTTTCATTAAAAAAATATGACATGACAAAATAAATATTGATTTTTTATGAAACAATGGAGAAAACTGTGTTAAAATATGCATTCAAATTTTGCATGGCTGAGAATTTCTCCGATTTGTGTAAATTGTGCTCTCAGATTTGTAAATAAACTGCCTAGGCCAATAAATATCGAATCAAGACACAACATAGGTTATAGGAATCACCAAAATATTATTACACCAAATAGATGTACTTTATTCAACGGTAAGTTCAACATTTATATGTGCCTATTCTTTCTCCTTTCAGCAGCGCCATATCTTATTAGACTGATTTTTTTTATGTTGTATATAGGTAACAGTTGTTGTCCTATGAATATTTATTCTTAACACCATATGTCTTTAGGGATTTAGGAAAATCAAACTACACATCTCAGCACATATTGTAATGAGCTGGTCCATTGACGAGGCAATAAGTTAACAGCCGTTAAGGAGACTACCATCTCGGGAAAGATGGAGGGAGAGGATTTTTTTTTGTGACATAATTTTCATTTTCACCTGTTGTTAGGCTGGCTTATATATTCCACATTTCATAGCTGCGCGAGTTTTTTTTTAATATTTTTTGTACACAATTATTTCCTGCCTTTTATTAGTGGCATATATTCAGTTTCGTCTTCTAACATTTGAAAGCCAGGGATCCATAAATACGTAGAAACGTTAGGGCTATATGAACAAAGTCACTGACTAAAAAGAATAGCCATCTAATATAAATTATCCCAAATGGGGTTGGAACCTCAGTTTTTTTAATTAGTACATGTAATTTCTTTATTGATCAACGTTGAATTTTAGAGAAAAAAAATGATGTTATAAATCATGCCTGTACCGAAGCACTGACTTCTGAGCTGATGATACCCTTAGGGACTAACAGTCCACAAACAGTGGTATCGACTAAGTGGTTTTAACACTTTATAGATTTCGTGCCTGTGTACTTTTAAAACTTCATCAGGAACGCTCAATCTCCAAACCTTTGAAAGCCAGGGATGTATAAACACGTAGAAACGTTAGGAACTATATGACCAAAATAACATGAAAAGAATAGCCAATGTCATATTACGTCAACTTTGCCTTAAGGAGGTGGAATCTTAGTTTCTAGTAATTTCTTCATTCATCCACGGGGAATTTTAGAAAAATATATTTTAAATCATGTCAGGACCAAGGCACTAACTACTTGAGCTGATTTACCCCGGCAATAAAGAGTCCAACAGCAGCGGAATCGATACAGTGCTGGTAAATATGGTTATTTTGTATTTACATTGTATCATAGATCAAATTTATTTGTTCAGTGTATGTTCACTGGTGTTAATATGTCTTTTGATTGAGTTAATCTATTTCAATTGATATTTTATAGTGTGTCTTTCTATGTTGTGATGTTACACTATTGTTTCAGATAAGGGTGAAGGTTTGGTACCATTAAAACGTTTAAACCCGCTGCAATTGTTTGCACCTGTCCTAAGTCAGGAATCTGATGTTCAGTAGTTGTCGGTTTGTTGATGTGGTTCATAAGTGTTTCTCGTTTCTCGTTTTTTATATAGATTAGACCGTTGGTTTTCCCGTTTGAATGGTTTTACACTAGTAATTTTTGGGGCCCTTTATAGCTTGCTGTTCAGTGTGAGCCAAGGCTCCGTGTTGAAGACCGTACTTTGACCTATAATGGTTTACTTTTATAACTTTTGACTTGGATGGAGAGTTGTCTCATTGGCACTCATACCACATCTTCTTATATCTATTTACCATACTTCCTCTACTGACGAATAGACGTCCACAAGATCGAAGCTCTCAAGTCGTCAGAAGTCGACAGTATACTGACTCACTGTTTCACTCTTTGGTAAAGGAAACGGTTCTCTTGAATCCACCTGTAGAAATTGAAGAGTGTTCTTAGACATTGAACTTTCTCATTTCAGTTAAAAACTATTCTCTACGAACACCTGACACACCAAATGTGGAATATGATCAGCTGGTTTCCGGTTTAAAGGACGGTAGTATGGTACTTATAGATGTCCGAGATGCATATGAACTAGACAAATTCGGAAGATTTCATCAAAACGCAATAAATGTACCACGTAAGTAGTTGACAGCATATATATAACAGTTGTCTTTAAAATACGTTTTCCCCCTTCCCCCTAAAAATAATCAACTGGTAAACGCTGTGGGTATTTTTACTTATTGGTATGTATCTACACATTTTTCCGTTTATACTCAATTTTCGTACACTGTAAAGCAATGGCGGAAAGAACTGCATGCGCTTACACATACAAAAATATTCTGTGCACTGACTAAAGTTTACACTTATATTAAGTTTGTTTATAGCAGTACCTACTTTATACATTTAGGACATAGTTTGATACAGAAAAGTTAACACCGTATTGATATCACTATTTGGATTCTTTAACACAACGCATTAATTGTTGCTTGCTTAAAATCCTGTGGTAAAAAGTACAGGCATATTCAGTATTCTCACTTCTATTTTAAAATTAATAGATGATAATTATAAACTAACCGTTTACAAAACTTTGAATTTTTCGAAATTCTTAAGATCTGCTTCTCAAGGAAAAGATTACCTTAGCTGTATTTGACATAACCTTTCGGAATTTTGGGTACACAATTTGAATCCTGGTATCTATGATGAGTTTATTAACAACCACTGGGTCGATGCCGCTACTGGTGGAGGTTTCCTCCCCGAGGGTTTCACAAGCCCAGTAGTCAGCACTTCTGTGGAGACATGAATTATCATTGGTATGGTCATAATTATAAGTTAACCATGTACAAAACGTTTTCGAAATTCTAAAGATTTTCTACCCCAGGAATAGATTAAATTAGCTGTAAGGGATCGGTCAAACAATTTGTGATGGTGACCGTAAAACATATGTAGTTTCGATTTTACTCGTTCTTTACTCTATTGGAGCAGATTTCGGTAAGGTACAAACCCCCTGTTAATGAATTCCGTATTGTGTGAAAATGTATGAGTATAACGCTTTAATTGAGATATGTTGACAATTGGAAAGTTGAAATCATCATGTTTGTCTAGATTCTATAGTTTGAACTCGTCCATCTGTGTCAATATCGAGGAAAAGATCAAAATATGAAACATACGTTTTCGTTTCGGTAGTGACCTTAATTTCGAGTTAACTGGAATGTATAAGATGCTACTGCTAGCACTCACTGAAATGTGGGTTATTGAATGACAGAAACGTCATCAATATTTCTGAAAGCGCATGTGAAAATCTGCTGGACATGAGTACTTAAAAATGGCTAGTGGGAGTGCATAATTAGTACCCATTGGAATATCGAATGCCCGTTGAAATACTAATCCATCAAACTCAACAAATATGTTGTCCATAAAAAAGATCCATCATTTTGATAGTACCATCTTCGGTGTATTTGTTGTTGAAATCAATGTCATTTTTTAGTAAGTAAGATTTTACTTGACCTAAAACAAGGAAGGAATTTGTATCTACGAATACATTTTTTGAGACCCTGTTTAATGAGACGATTAGTCGATCTTTGAATTGAGTATGGGGGAGAAGTAATGTTAAGCGTAGAAAATTCAAAGGTTTTGATATAACTGTAAAATTGTATAGATTTTAATTAGTGATTTTGGAGTAGATCTTGAAAATTGTTAACAATCCACAACTGATTGACACCGCTGGTTGAATGTACCTCAACACAATATTTTTGAAGGACATCTTTTACTGTAGAATAATGGGAACTGTAGAAAGATATTTTGTCGAACATCTTGACATGCCGGCCATATATCGTTCTCTATAGATATTCTTATGAAGTTTAGGTATCCAGTATTAAGACGGGAGATTTTCTTCGTCCATTTTTATGTTAATACCAAGGGAAAGTAGAACGGATTTGTGATTTTCTAAAATCTCCTCTTTCGTGAAAATGTGCATAGGGTAAATTTGCGATTCCAAATAATAATTTTGTTTATAAAAACAATATTGCATGAGGCTTTGTACCCTTGAACAAAATAGTTTGTCACGAAGAGAAGAGAAAGGATCCACAACCTCGAGCTTCTTGAATGGCTTAGACACCTTTGTGTTCATTGTTTATTTTGAATGCACGTCTGAATGCATGACTGATCGAACAACTTTGGTACATGCAGATAGAGTGTCCAGATTAGGTTCATCTAGCTCGCGTTTTATATATGTTCTGGCATAGTTGTCAATGGTAACCACCAGTACCTTGGAGTTCTTCTTCCATGCAGTTGACGGGCTGGGGAATTCGTTGTGTCGAACCTTTGGCTAACAACTCTATCAGTTGTTTATTGTTAACAATGCATGCCAATGTCTCAAGTTATAACATAACCGACTTTATTCGATGAACAAGAACAATCGGGATGGTGAGGTTGAACATCCTTGAGGACAAAGGTTGTGGTTGAAAATCTTGGTGTACGTTTATGATATGACAGGTGTAGTTTTATCTTTGAAGAAATCAGGTATAGTTTCGTGCACAGATTTTTATTAAAAATGTATCCCTAATATCAATAGCGCCAAAAATCTTATTAGCGAATTCCAATAAAAAAAAACGTTTTCCATCATCTGCATGTGGTGTAGTTGTCATGGGTTGGAATAGTCTTTAGTTAGCTTTGTCAATAATTATTGCATCCCATCTGTACTTAGCAAGATTTGTATCAATAACTTTCCAAAGGTTTTTGAACAGAGGATAACAAAATCCATAGACACGATGTGAACTGCAGGTTTGGGGATAACATGGGCTGCTCTTGGCTCGGGGTTCCATCCTAATTTAATCGTTGGGCTCTATGCTCCACATTATGGGCTACTTTGAAGAATGTTTTAGGGCACCGGGTTCCACGAATAGGATTCGCAGCTTCAATGATAGGGGTTCGAGGTGCGTCAGTAAGGATCCCGGCTCCTAAGGAACTGTGAAGCATGTGTTATTACCCCAGCAGGTGGTGTATATTTTCGATGATCATGACTTCTATTGCGTCAAACAGATGTGTTAAATAATTCTAATTTGTCGATATCACTACTCCTTGGACTAGACAAAATATATATATTTAAAATTGGATACAGCGCAGTATTTATATGTTTTGACTTCCCATTTTTTTTTCTCCTTGATGAAAGAAAACATCAAATTCGGAATATTTTACTTTGTTGATTAATTTTGCAGTTGACCAATTAGCAGAAACATTCAATATGTCACCCGAGCATTTTAAAGTTTTATATGGATATGATTTACCGGAACTGGAAGACAATATAGTGTTTGTTTGTCGTAGTGGTGAACGAAGCAGTAGTGCTGTGGAAATGGCGATAGAATACGGGTATGAAAAGTAAGTAGTACGTACAATAATTGTCTTGTTTTGTTTCCAGAAGTAAACTGAGTCACCGAACTATATTGTATAAGAACTGAAGAGCGAGACCATGATATCTGACAAGCAAACGTCTTCAGAATTATAGATTGATATCACTGTTTAATTTTTGAATTCAAGGAAAAACTAAAATAAAATTGCCAAAATAGAATTGTTTTTAGATGTTGCCGTTTATGTTTAAAAATGAGCAAGTCTTACCCAAACCGGGTATTTTCTACAAAATGTTTTTCAAAGAGTTGGTAACGTGCGTTATAACTTAATTATTGGTTGTTGACTACCCAGTTTACGAGCTTCGGTCTTGGCTTGGAAATTACATTGAATCGAGACTGTCCTCTTTTATTTTCTTCATAAAAAAACCCACTCCCACCACGTCCGGACTTGTGAACAGGCACATATCAAGTGTCTGGCTACTCTTACCATTGGTCATTGCTATGAGTTGTTTTTTTTTTCTTTTCGTTTCTTTTCTTAAATAAAACAAAAATCAATAAATCAACATAAACAAATCAGAATGTACTTCTTAGTCTCGGTCTTATTGTATATTTAGCAATTATGGACTTTTGACGAGGTCAATACGTTATATATTGACCTGTTTAGACTATATTGACCGAGGACGAAGTCCGAGTGTCAATATAATCTAACAGGTACATATATAACGTATTGAATGAGTGAAAGTCCTTAATTTTTATAGCATATGTAAATAATGTATTAGGAAAATGGACTTCAATGTTCTTTGTGTGTTTTTTTTTTAATTGTATTTTGCAAGATTTTACCGCCCATTAAAATATCAATAAATAAGATGAACTTGTTTTATTGTAAACAAAAACACAATTTTTTTTTTCTGTTTAGAACAAATAAGAATTCAAATTATATAATTTTCGTCTGTTGCGGCTCTTCTCCCTTGATTGTTAAACTGACGTCATGACGTAGAGTAATTTCGGACCGGAACGGCTTATATCCGGATCTAAATTTAGCAAAAATTTTAATATTGACCGTCAATATACATATAAATAGAAACATAGCGTCAATATACTTAAAAATAGAAACAGGGCTTCAGATACACGAAATAACCTTTGAAACACGTGATTGATATATAATAACCAATGAAAATAGTAGAATGCTACACCATATGTAATATTACACGTCTATATGATATTTTGCCATCTGTTTTCATCTTGCAGAAACTTTGGAAACAGAATAATTTTACATGTTAACCTGAAGTAAGATTAGTGGTATTGACAGCTTGTATTAACGCAAGGTCTAGTTTCTTTTTAACTAATTGTTACTTTGTGGATTCTAGTGCAAAGCATTTTCCCGGTGGATTATCTGAATGGCAGAAAAGAAAGGCTTCTTTGGAAAGTTCAGAAGATGTATAGGGCGGTGTTTTCCTTTATTAAGGTAGTCTAGTAAGAGTTGAGACCAGTCTACAGGGGTCAAGGGTATTTCGTTTGTAGAAATGTTAGATTGTGTAATGAACAATGCTTGTATTGTATTTCTATTGTTGCTTCAACTATATGACCATTATGTGTAGTACATACATTATGTATTAGTCTCAACTATATCGTTAGAAGAGAAAAACACATTAGACGTGGTCATCCATTAGTGCCCTGCGTTGTACATACATGTATTAAATAATACTAAGAAAAATGGTAAGCTATTGATTATTTTAAGAAAACAAAACAGTTGAAGGATGTCGTTTTTCACTTTGACTCTTGATTTAATAGCTATTCAAGCTCCTTGCAAACTAAAAAAGTAGAAATAAAAAGTTTAAGAACAAATCAAGGATTTGTATAGTGAGACCACTATACAAATCCTTGAACAAATTAACGTGAAGGCCGTTGAAATATATATGGCAATTCCTTCCAGTGTTCACAAATACGGGTAAATAATGAAAGTTCACTCCACATATTTAAAAAAATATACATACGAGTTAATGTATTAAATAAACTAATTGACATGTTTTGAAAATAATTGTATTATAGGGAATCATAGGCTTCAACATTAAATTTACAAGATATCGAGCTTTGAATCGGCCAGAGTTTTCAAAAAAATGTGCCGGAATACATTGTTTTTATTGGTAAAGATAATGATTTTGTTATCAGTAAATTAAAACCATACTTTTATTAGTTGTTACAGGCATTGGACTAGCTGTCAGTAACTGCGAGTACTCTCAGATCTGTACTTTGTGTCTTTTTTGTTTTTAGGGATTTATAAATACCCTGCCATATCCGGTCTGTGTTTTTGTTAGATGTTTTTTTCTGCTTTGTATCGATCTGATGAGTTGAGCCCTTTTCAACTGATTATATTGCGTTCTTATGTTGTGCTGTTACACCACTGTCACAGGTTAGATGAGGGTTGGCGCCTTCAAACATGTTTAACTCCGCCACGTTCTTTGTGTGTCTGTCCCAAGTCAGGAACCTGTAGTTCAGTGGTTGTTGTTGGTTCGTGTCTGTCTATTATTTTTCCGTAATTTGTTTTGTTGTAAATCAGTCCGTTAGTTTTCTCAATTGAATTGAATATTTTTCATGTCGGGTCTTTTATAGCCGACTATACGGTATGGGTTTTTCAAGTTGTTGAAGGTCGTACGGTTGCCTTGAATCGCTTACGTCAACTTCATTTGAACTTTGGTGGATAGTTGTCTCATTGGCAATCTTACCACATCTCCTTATTTTTATATTAACAGAAACCATCAAAGACCTGTCAACAACATCAAACTCTCCAACAAAAGCCCATTGACAACATTAAGCTTTAACACATTACAAGCAGTGGTTTATGACTTGGAACAATTAACACATTTAACGGAAATTGTGGTTGAATAGTTGTTTTATATATCTCAACCCCTATCAATCTATATCACTGGTACATAAAAGAACATTCCATAACAATCAGTATAGGAACTGCACATAACTCTAAAATGGTCGTTTTCCCGAAGCATTAGAACGAATCAGATTACTTATAAAAATGGAACGTTATACTTCTTGACAGAAGTAATTATGACTTTTAAAAGATTTTAAAAGTCTTTAACACAGAATAAACACAGTTAAAATTGGCGGATCCTGGGGGTGGGTGTTCCGGGGTGGAATCTTCCCTATTTTTCGATTTTTTTTTAATTATATGAACGTTTCGTGGTATTCCGGGGGTTGGAAACACCCACCCCCCTTTTCAAAATGGCTGGATCCGCTCCTGGTTGAGATCAGTTAGGCACGCTGTAATTCAAATGAATGACACTAACCATATATCAATCATTGCAATGCAAAATCCTGGTGAATACTATCTTTCTATGGACAGTGGCCATTCGATAAACTGTAATCTTTTTTGGTAATATCATTTATTATTATTGTGTAGTTTGAACCATATTATTATCATTGTATGTATTTTATTGTTAATAAAAAAATCACCCAGAAGCGTTACTGTATCATTGTGTAGTTAAATCAGATGCAGAATGGACCGTACAAAGTCTTTTCCCACTTGGAATACTGGGAAGTCTCGTGCGATATCTGAATATATCTTGGTCTTCTTCATCTTCCACTATGCGTGCATTGTCTTTAAACAGAGGAGTTAAGGCACGCCGTAATTTTCTTGGACTACCTACCCAACTAATGTCGTATGTTTGGTGCGTTCGGTTAATAGTACTGTAATCCGATCTTGCACTTCGTGGCGGATCTTCTGCGAAAGAATTACTTGCGGTTTGCCGTACGAGATCGGGAGTTGGGTTGGAACATCTTCGAGGTGACGATGATGAGGATAACGTCGAAGAAGTGGAAGATCTTCCTGTAGACTTTGGCAAAGACAACGTCTGAAATTCATTACGCACAAAGCTGTGTTCTCTACCATTATAGTCAATCTCTTTTCCCAAAAGAATTCTTAGTCCTTTTAAATCCTTTGTATGTTTCATATCTACACATCCGTTTTGTACGAGCACTTTGCAACATTCTCCCATTTTTAATTTAATTGCTAGTTCTAAAGAAGTAAGGCCCTGGTCATTCTGTATATCCAGATTAATTGTTGACCGCGTTGCTGACGAAGTAACAAGAATATATACAGCTGCGTGATTCGAGGCAAGGACTGCGTGCATAAGCGCAGTATTAAGATTATTATCTTGAACATTAGGATCACAATTTCCTTTCTTTGTCAGCAATCTAGTAACGTCCTCACTTCCTGTGTCCATACATGAATACATCAGTGCTGTGCGACCATAAATATCTTGTCTATTGACTTCACAACCGTGACGTAACAACGTTCTAACCATATGTGTTCTGATGTCGTCCTTTCCGTCATAGCACACGGCGCACATTAGAAGTGTCTTCCCCGAGACATCGTCAAAGTCAATATTTATGTCCGTATCTTCATTGAAATAGTTTGTAAGTTTCCTTATGTTTCCATTTTGAATGAGATGGAATAGTTTTTCTTGTTCTTCGTCTTCCATATCAACAATGTTGTTATTAATTTGGAGTTATCTGAAAAACATCAAGGTATAATATTTCTTTTCGTTTACAATGAGCACGTGACTTCTTCAGACTATTATTGAAATATCTTGGAAAAGTCTTGAAAATAAAAAAAAAAAAACGTGATGTGTACTGTTTTTTACGTGCTTATGACACGTGTTTTTAAGATGCATAAGATTCCAAGTCAATCAATTTCTGATGTATTTCTAGAAATAAAACATTGATTTGTTCTAATCCAAACCTCTCCAGAAGTTCGATTCTAAACTTAAACTACTTGAAGCTTCCTATAAATTTAAAGAATAAATACTCTTATCGATCTTCGTTTCGTCCAAATTTTACTTAGCTGACAACCAACATGTCTTCTTTTCACAGTCTGTTTAACAACGTTTTCGTGTTTAGCTTCAGATATGACAATGATGTCGCAAATGAAATGTTTGCTCATATAATTATTACTTAAGCTGAATGATAATCAGGATTTTAAACTGATTGAATTACGGGACATTTGTAGAAGTTGGACGCATAT